GTCAGAACAAGAATCAGCTTCGTTTGTGGTACTTACTTGATATACTGATCCCTTCAAGTTCATCGTCCTAGTAGTAATACTTACTCGTGCTAAGCAGCTCAAACAACAACCCATGTTGGACAACAATGAATGTATAAGTACAACTGACTTATAAATCAGTTATGTACAGAGGGGCAGCGATATATGCAGCAGTCGGTGGTGAGATTATGAACATCCACGAGAGGCCAATATCGCTCAGGGGATGATTGGTAGGGACTAGAAAGTGCGAATTGCTACAAATGTTCAACTGGAAACGACAGGGACCCACGGTATGTGCATCACAAGGATGCTCCAAAGAGGAAAAAAAGAAAATAAGGACGTCCAGCGTCACAGGTTCTGTATCTGCACGATAAGGAATTGCTTCTCGTCCTGATAAGTCGGAAGATATCAGTAGGAAGTGAAAGAACTTTAAACGGTGGATGAATACTCACGCTAAACTGTTCGTCTTCCTTATCGTTATGGAAGCTCCTCAAGAATGTCAGCAATTTCTCCTTATTGCGTCTTAGTATCGTTTCAATCTGAGGTGGTTTCTTTGGATTGGCAACGAATACCTAGCAATAAATTGTAATCAGTGGATACGGGCAGCAAACAAATTCATAGAATCCCACTTTAAAAACATGGAAAGCTTCGAACTGGATATTCTTGCTCTTGTCCCGAAGCATGTTCATCATCATCTTCAGGTTGGATTCTTGAGCGATGTATCTGGTCATGACGCTGAAATTGGCACGGTCAAGAAGGATTTCGCCGAGGAGCTTGAGAGACTGGCGCTTGGTAACATAATTGTTGGAGAGTAAAAGGGTTGTGAAAGAGGCGAAAAACTGTGCAGAATGCTCAATATGCAATGAACACGATTATGAGAATTTGATACCCACACGGTCATAGTTCTTGTCCAGGTATTCAGCGACCATAGGTTTGTGCCGTGTTAATGTCTCTTTGAGGTTTGCAAATGCATCGCATGAAACTCCAAACGATGTTGTCTCTATATGATGAGGGAACATGTAGAACCTGTGCGGCATTCGATATGATAAGTTTTGAATGCATGATAGAGCACTCACTGATCTGAATAGAGCAAGATCTTCGCCAACTGTTCGTGTCGCAACATCTCCCTTAGCACCATTCCCGTGTTCAACGCAACCTCTTCGTTACTATATCCTTCTAGAGCTGCAAAGATGACGTCTTCATGTCTAGCGCATATGTATTCGACGGTTGGTAGCCGTGCCCCGATTTGACGCCGGAGAAGATTGTTGAATATCTGGACGACATCCTTTCGAGCCTCAAAGTCGAACTTTGCGATATTCTGCACGAGTAGGAGGAGCAGGTCTGTTGAATACGTTTCTTGTGCGAGTTGCGCAATGAGTTCTGGTAAAGGCTCTAGGAAACTCTTAGTAAGTAGGGACGATGTGAACAACGGAGGATCAACACACCTCCATCACCGTATAGAATACCCTTTACTGCCTGTAGATTTCTAGATACTTCTTCACCCGCCTAGTGGTCACGATCCCATTCAGTTGTGAGTTTCATTTGAGTTCATGAGTTCATCCATCAAGCTCACCTTTCTCCTCGTCTCACTGCCTGAAGGTCCAGATTCGAGTTTGGGTATCGCATCTCGCAAGCCGCGGACGATATCAGGAGGTGTTCTTGGTTTGGTCTTGAAAAAGTTCATTGTCTATACGGTTGAAACAATCTCCTGGGATATCTGATGATAAAGAAAGGGACGATGGTCTAAATAGATGGACGACAGGATGAATGACACGGGATGAATAATGACTTGGCTGGAAGCGCCGAGCTCAGTGTTTCAGAGATGGGCTGTACTAGCCTTGGTAAGTAGCCTAGTAAGCCACTGACAGAACTTCCAATCTGAACTTCGCATATGGCTTTCTACAGCACATGCCTAATTTGGCTTTCTCTCAAACCACCTAGTACACTGGCACTAGCACGGTGTGGAGTCAAGCATCCTAGCTAGCTCATGAGCTAGGCCAACCTGTCTAAGGATGGTACCAGATTTGAAACTATTCGAGCCAATTCGGACAAAATAGCCGCATCTCTCATTCATTGGTTGTATTCCCTTGGTAAAGGAGAATTGAAAGGAATTGATTGTACGCTCTGTTTCGACAGTTGTCACAACTCAAAGTAACTAGCCTACTATTACATTGTAGCTTGTTGCAATAATGTCTTCGTACAATTTTATGGCATGCAGATGCAGGCATGTCCTTTCAATCCATTGAATATCAGAAGCAACACTTCTGTTTCATGTCATCGGCCAATCCTTGCTGGTTGCAAAGGCCTGAGGGTTGGAGCTATATAGAAGAACCTCAAAGATATTCGCGTCAGTTGTAACCCGCTAACAATGTCCGATATCGCTAGTCTTACCGTTCATACAGCCTGGCAATATCCTGATTGTCCAATACTCCCTCGTTGACGGAAGTGAAATTTACAGCATTTGATGGGCTTCCTTGCTGCGAGGTCGCCATGCGGCACACTATACTACTTACTACTCACCTGCAGTCCGGAACCATTTTGTTGCTGGTTATGCAGAATTTGCGTCGGTCCTTGATTGGCAGGTTATATCCTGTGTTCCACTTGGAGAACTAGAATTACTTAACGGTTGTTCCCTCTTTCACATAACGTCTGATGACTACATGCATCACTTGCACGTCAATGTTACAGGGGATTGATAATTGTTTCTCTTCAGCCATTCACTGAGAAGTGAATGGTATCGCTGACCTGCGAACTTTGCGTTACTACGATTCTCGAAGGCTTCTGTTGAATTGGCGAATAATAGTACTTACCGCCAGTGCGTTACCATACATAGGTACCCATCAAACGAGGTTTCGAACATCCTTGTCGACTCCAGGACCAGATACGCTCTCCAGATACAACGATCCAAGGGTACTCCGGAGTATGTCAAACACTAAGGAATGCCAAGGGTGTCCCACCTTCGTGGTCACAAGAAATTTATCCGTTGAGGGGGCAAATTATTGTAAAAAAAATGAACTCGAAGGTTCCGCCACAATCATTCGAGTAGGCCGACGCTTTTACGGAATCGGCGGAGGCAAAGTGTGGCATGAGAAACCGCCTCTCGGGGGGCAAAGGTGACCCGAAATGGCATAATAAGTATGCTCCCCGACCCCGACTTTGCCTCGCTGTATGACTGTGGCCAAGACAATAGAAATACAGGGATGCAGCACACCGGACGTCGCACGGAGGTACACGGAGAGTAAAGAAGCATCGCTGGGTCAAGGCCACATATTCTGTTATGGATAGCCTTGAGCATCACTTCAGCGGTCGACCGGGTGCGATTATGGCTGATTCGCCAATGCAGAATGATCCCATATCCAAACGTCAGTACATCCACACTAAAAAACCAAATAGACATACACCAGTAGTTCCTTCCAAGTTGCCGCAGCTTTTTTGTGAAGTTCAGAATCCGGCTAACTACACAAATAATAATCACAAGGAAAAGGCTGGTGGTGCCGGGCAGACATACCGGTAATTGTACGGCATGCTGCAATATGTTGGGGACGATGGAATTGGATATTGATAGGGCTGATCAGCCCCAGAACTGAAAATACATAAGCAGCATCGCGCCTGAAGCATACATAAAAGCCGATGATTAAGAATTATGTGCGGCCCTAGAACCAGTGATACGTACAACCATTCAGTCCAAGACGAAGAGGAAAGGTTAACATATTCTTGCCAGTCGCTAGGGGCTTACACAGGAATATTGCCATGACTCCGAGCCTGTTTAAAAAACGTCTTTGAACGTAAAGGTGAGTAACAAAAAGAAGGCCATAGGCCGAGGAGAAGGCAGGATCAGCCCGCTGCGCTCTTAAGGTCCGTTGAAGTCGCGTTATCTGAGAAAGTCCCACGTCGTACAACGCAGCGATACCCTTGAGGTCAGATTAATGATACTTTTGAAAGCAAATTGACCCTAACGACGGCATGTTGCTTGATCTGAATTGGTAACCCGGAGACTTATGCCCTTGCATGTATGAGTGAAGTTTGGAACTCTCTTTAGGATGTCCCTGTAGACGATCTCAAAAAGGCGCACCGAATTTCGCAGCAGGGTATTTCGCACCGTAAGCCGAAACTTCATTGATAGAGACGTCTGAGTCTGTAACCGACGAGAAGCGGTCTTTAACAATGCAGCGAGCCGACGTGCTTACACTCCCACGCGGCGCTAGCAAGCTAGATCACGAACGTCAATTACGATCAGCTACAAAGAAGTTCTGCTCTGATCTACCTTGGCTATAAGCTCGCTGATAGCCGGGCGGGCTGGGGTGGCTCCAGGCTCGAGTAAGCTTGATGAAAATGCATCTCATGACCCAAATGAGGACATGTGAGTGCCTTGGGCCCGACCAGGAAAAACGTACTGCCACTAATGTATACGAATCTTTTGATTTTGAGCGCCAAGGGCCAAGACTACCAGTGAAGCGCCGGGACTAAAGGTCATCGATACATGTGTCCTGTCAGAATTAGCTCAGTGTCAATGCGCCAATGCAGCGTTGCAGAAATACATGGATCAACTTTAGTACTGAGTACTGAGTGATAGGCTTCCTATCACGCGGCAGGTCTGGCAAAGCTGATAGAGTAGATGACCTTGCGACTCCGAGTCGGACATGCACGTTCATAAACTATGTCATTCGTGGGAATAAATGAATTTCCGTTCAAAGACTCTTATGTAATTACATAAACACCCTTGAACTTGACCGCGAGTATACAAGAAAGGCTTCAAGCTTCAAGAAGAGGGGTAACAGGTAAGTATACAATATCATTCATGCACCTACATGACATGGTTTCCGGTCAAACAACAGACTTGGAAAAAGGTTTCTGCTACCGCAATCGGTGTTCAAATGTTCACCGGGCATTCGCCTTCATATCCATGGCCTTTCGTCTAGTACCTTCAGCTAAGTATGTCATTCATTTCCAGGCCATTTTTGGCCGTTCCCTATCACGTCTGCTTCTGTGCGATCTATTTCTCCGAGGCTACATAAAACAGTCTCCTGGTTGATCAGATGCCCACGAACTGTCTGGTTCCCCGAAAGACTGGAGAATGCTCTACGATTTTTGGTGGGTTTCCTCCACCCCCCTACGCTCCTCCCGTGCATATATCTTTGGCAGGAAGCTAGATTCAGACCTATACGCACACGTCAAAGCGTCCGGACATTCACAAGGGATGTCTCACGAGGTATGTCAGTCTGACAGTATGCACGGTGGTGAAATGCTAATATTCACGTAGCCGATGCAGAACCGTATGCATCATGTACACATGGACTCCTGTTACAGTGCTACTGCATCAGCTGTTCCGCAGCATGCTCGATCGAAAACTAGTTACCGTGCATCGGCTTCTTGTGACCCGCATGTTGAGGACTCATTGTCAAACAGTACCTCGTCACTGTCGAGTTCTGGGAAAGCGGTTGCTCAACGTTATGATCAAAGGTATGATTCCCCTCACATGATGTTGATCCTGTGTTATTAATGATTTTCGAAGTGCGGCAAGGCAATCTTTGTGCTACGGTCCCAGTGATTCGCTCAACTATCGGTACGCCGTCGATCCGCAATTGCCTAGCACAACGTCGTACGCGGATGAAAAATTTCCCGTCGTGCTCTTGCATCATGTCCATCGGGGGGATATACCCCACGAACAAGAACCTTCATCCAACAATTTTAATGTGTCAGAATCGCCAACCCAATGCCTGTGGAACGACAGCCAAGGCCAGTGTAGCTTTACTGCAGATACGGTCACGACCGTGATGAAGCATATATCATTGCACCATCTTCGTGAGCATCAGCACTCCGACTGCCAGGTGCGATGTCGATGTAGGGGCTGCCTGCTTCGGAGGACCATAAGACGAGATACAATTCTCAGGCATATCCGCGAAATACATTACGGGGACAAATTTCGCCGCAAGAACTCACCGTGAGTTCCATCTGCACTTGAAAGACTGATCACTTTGGGTCGCACTATGTAGGAGGCGGTCCTATTATGCCTCCTGATATACTATTCCTGCTTTAGTGGCTAGTGTGTATCTTAGTAGGATCTATATAAGGTCCTGGCCATTCTTTGTTCGTACATTCTATACAACTCTTCATCGTACATTTTTATTCCGCCATGTAGAACATCATCAGTCGCATATGCTGTACAAAGGACACTATCGTGATGGACCGTCATGAATATAGCTCTCGCATTCTCTGCCTTAACTATCTACGGTGACTTTTTAATAGACCGGTACCTAAATTAACAGGCCGGGCCGGCAGGCCCGGCGGCTCTTTACCGAGCTTCTCAGCCGACGTCCTCTCGCAAAATTCTCTCGCTAGTCTTGCGCAGAACGTGTTTCGGCGTGCTCTCCCTAGGCCTGCTCTCACACACATGCTGTTAGCCCCACGCATTTATACCTCTCTCTCTGGTTGGATGTGCTCTGTCACGTCTCATGCGTTCTTGTCGACTTCAACTTCAACATTCCGAATTCGATGTAGTATACTATCTTCGCATCGAAGCCCATAAAGATCTGTCGCCCAAAGTCTTTCGGAGCCAAGCCTTGGCATGCGGATAACCTGAATGGAGCCAGACATGATGCAAAAAACCGACGGCCATTGCATCAACTTTCTCTAATTTTCATGTGTGTATTCAAGAATTATTTCATCAAATTCATACCTTCACTTACACTTGTGCTTATAGATCTGGCTTAGATACGTCCCTTTGACCTCGAAATCGCTCACTTAGTACAGCTGAGTATACACACTGTGTGTGTTCTCTGTTTGACATCGGATCTACATCTTACAACTCATCACAACCTCCGAGTCAAGATTTTCAAATTTTCAAATTCTCAAACCGAGTTCTGAATTCCCTGTCGATCCTCCAAATGAGAATTCATCTAGATCTCTGTGTAGATCTCCACAGATCTTCATGATTCCAATGTGCTTCCGTCGATCAGACTCGTGTCGTCTCCTTTTGCGTTGCACGTAGTATGAACCCCGCGAAACTAGGTGGTATGTCATATCTCGAATTTGATCATTATTGTTAAACAAATGTAGTATGCATTGTATTTCGTACCAATGAGCAATGCTACTACTCGATCGTCCATACAGGCGAGAAAAAGGCATATTCACTGGCATCTCCCCATCATCTTTAAGGCGACAAGACGAAGGTGCCAATCGTGTCCTCTCTCTCTTATGATCAAAGATGTCGATGCACCGTCAGAGTATATAGTCACATACTTGGCCACTCTCCTCTCCAGCCGGTGATGATATGTCATTATATTCACAATCTCCGCTGTACCGTGTCAAACGTATTATATATGCATTGTATAGGAAACTAGTAGTAGGGAATAAACATAGCTTAACGCGCAACCGGCTGACAGATATACACAGTATATGGTCTGCACAGAAACAACAGCGAGCGACATAAAGTAAAAACAAACCAGAGCAATAAATTACAGACGAAGGCTACACGATCAGCATTAATGCAAGTGCGTATTTTTCCGGGATCCACGGGAGCCGGCCCTAGTATGAGAGGCTAACCAAAGCTTGCTTCGATACTTGTGTCCGAGATGTTTTTCGACGATGTGGCGGATGATTGTATCTCGTCGCACAGGCTGGTGGAGCTCGCAGTCCTTCCACAAACATTTCAAGCGCTTTGCAGGGGGCAAAGGTGACTTGAAATGGTATGATAACATATGTTTCTTGGTCTTGGCTGCATTTATAGTCTTACCGCATGCGCCATGACCATCATTCCACTGGCACACAGACGCACGATCGACGTGCGATTTTGATTCATCATCGTTGACCACATATCGAGGATGGGGGTCAACCTCTTCTTGTAATTGATAAGGTGGGTCATGCTGGAACCCTTGCGTGGGTGGCCATGGGTTGGCAAGGTTTGCGTCAGAGAAGCCCATATTGTGGGCAGGTAAATAGTCGGATAAGGCGTATGGAGAATAGCTGGAAGGAACACTGCGTGGATGCCATCCAGCAGCATCACTAAAGAAAAGAAGTTCCGCTAAGCACAAGATCATCAATACCATCCGGGGATCTCGTACCTTTGAATGTCACCCTGAGCTATTGGGATCGGTGATAGGCCCGCATCAGGTACGACATCACGAGGGACCACTGTGTGGTCCTCTGTCGTCGAGTCTCCGTCGCATGCAACGTGATCCTGGGAGACAACGGGTGTGGGATCGTAGGCAGTATTCTCTAGTACAGAATGTAGGACGTGTTGGTGAAATTGATAAGTCGACTGTTCCTATAGCAAGATGTCAGCGCTTCACATCGTTCGCACGGCGCAGACCGAACGTACATGACCGGTAGTAGTTTGCAGGTGCTCTGCAGTTGATGCCTTGACGTGTAGGTATAATTCCGAATCCTGTTGCCTGCACGAGGGGATAAAAAAAAAGAAGAAATACAACGGCACAGATCAGACGTACCAGAAATTGTAGGATGTGTTGCGAGGCATTGAGAGCAATGGCACTAAACACTGATCATACTGATAGCAAGTCAAAATCCTTGAAGCAATATAAGCTCGGAAACGTGAAAACATACCAGGAAGGCCGACGGCCAACGACTCGGATTGTCTACAGGCCAAGGGTCGGTGGCATGTAGTAGGCGAAGTTGAGGGAGGTGGAAATGCATGACTACCAATCACTAGAGATTCATATCAGGTGTACAGAGGCCAAAGGCCAGAGACATGGGAGACGATAAGGTCTATGGGTCTTGTTGAGGAAAATCCACAGTTGAAAAAAGTGAAAGTTACATGAGGCAGCGACGCCTTTGAAATTGCGCGATGGCATTTTGGGCTGTGGCCGCTGTCTGAGATCGTGGAACAGATCTGCAACTCAAAGGCTTGCCTCTACACGACCAAGAACGAGGCGGTCCCAGAATTGGAATGCCTCGTGAAACGCTCTCATTGGTCAAACAGCTTTTTCCTGTAGCGGTTTCGATGTTTTGAACGTTTGAACACCAGGCCAGCCATGGCAAAATGAAAAGTCTGTGGCAATCTCCGGCTTTTGGGGAGAAGGTACTATGATGGCGACGGCCTCATGGGGATAGCAATGTGGGCAGGAGCCTGCCATTCTGCCAATCATAATTGCCGGCAGAAGTCGGCAGAAATTGATGTGAATCTTATTTTTTCTACAAGCGGAACGAGCTGGAGAAGAAATTATAGTAGTGTACACCTTTAGTACGGTCCCAGCATGTTCGAACTAGGTGCCGCCGCCCGCGTGCGGTGACAAGCTACTACTTTCTATGGGTATATCGTAGGTAGATAAGGTACCGGTACCACACCTTGAAAGTTGAGCGGCAGCTTGCTCCACACAATTTGTTTCTCCACTGCATCATACGACCCACTCGCTACGTATTACACTGTCAGCTCAACCGCTGGAATTTTCCGAGTTTGTCCGGCTGGGTCCATCCGAGTGCGGATCCGGATGAAAACTAATGTAACACAACCTGCAACTTGCGAATAGTTTACATTTGTAATGGATAACTTCCCGCAGTCCTGGATTGACATGCGGACAGTGTCGTTTGACGACAATCAACCGGTCATCAGCGAGGAACGTTCCGCTTCTCTCGATCATGATCGAGGCTTAGCTAATTTCAAATCGTTGGACACTCATGATGCGGCCTCGGGCATGGCGCCAGACTCGAAAACCTTCCAGACGAGGCTCACTACATCAGCCTCGCGTTGACCTCCTCTACCATCAAGTAGTTCCCAATGATGTGGCTCTAGAGGGTCATGTTGAAGAAAAAGACATTTGAGGAAGGATCTATTCCGCCACGTGCAAAGTGAAGAAGGTCATCTCACAACCAGGCTGGGCTAGTCGTACGAGGACTTGTAAGAATTATACACCATGAGATGCCTTGAAGATGGGCCCAGGACGCGACGACATTCATTACTGCTCTCCGAAAAAGCATCTCTAGACGACAGTCTAAGTTACTTCCAGACGCGCTAGATAAATTTCGAAATCCTCTGGCATTCGGGCGAATAAATGATAGAAATCATATATCCTGCAAAAATATATCATATCATATTGTGAACGCAACTCAAAAGGTAGTCGAAACAGAGTACAAAAGTGATGGAACGAGAGCAGTAAAGCCGCAGCGTTCCGAACAGCTCGCAATGCGTGCGCTCAATGCAAGGTACCGTCAACGACTGCCCATATTGTATTCGTGATCCACGCGTTCGAGGAACCCTTGGCGAATGTTTGATTCAGTGCTGCTGCTGTCACGAATTGCGTTGTTTTCGACTCCTAAGATTACCAAAAAATTAAGTTCGTTATCACGATGAGAAATTCAGCGCAACAACATCAAGTACTGTTTGCTGTGTGTCGTGTTTCAGTAGACGCCTGCGAGAGAGAGTTAGTAGCTGACGCTGCAGACATCACAAAAACTCACCTGTATTGTTGCTTGACCCATAGTAGGACTACTAGAAAACTAGCAGTGATCGCATATATATGCACCTTGCCTGTAGTATCCAATAATTCAGCCTCAATACTGTTTACAAACTTGACCAGGGATCGAGTGGGATACTAGCTGGCCACAGCGTCATTGCACGGAGGAACATAACGGTAAGGGAACAAGGGCCCGATGGTGATGACATGAAGACGGAGTTTAGACTTGAAACACTTTGTTACTTGGCGCACTGCACATGCAACCAGTAGATGGCAAATGCAAACAGTGCGGAATACATGTGGTTGTGAAATCAGCGCGAGGATGGCCAAAGTTTACGCAAAGTGCATGACTGCGCTCACAAAAAAAATACTCATCTGTTCGCCATCAGATCCACGTGGCACTTCATAATTGCATAATACTCTCTCACGGGCCCCCGCAATGTCCGATATCGATCTTCACAGAGTGGGGTTTAACGTTTACTGGCGTGTTCATGTTACCAACGTGTCTCACATTAACAGGTCCGTATGGTTCGATTGCATCCCCGAAGAACGTCGACAATTCACGTGACTAGCTACTTACTCGTCCTCCGACTTTAATGCCACCAGCAGAATGGCAGCATTCTACCAACAACACGAGTACTAGGTCACCGTTGAACCCAACGACGCAGCGAACGGCTCACTGGCGGCTGACACATTCTCTGCACATCTCATGATTGTTGTCCAGGGGACTGGCCTAATCCACCACGACTGCATCCAAATGCGAGCACCAGCCAAAAAACGCGCACACTGCGGAACACGCAAATGATAAATTTGCTGATACAACCGCCCAGATGTGATGGCACGCCTCGCGCGCATGGATATCGCGCCATGGTGTATAATTTTGGATGGACACATTCAAGTATAAAGCTCGTTGGCCTATGAAGGGTGTTCTTCATGGCTGGTTCAATCTTAGCGGGCACTTTGTTCTTCTTGATTCTTCTCATCACGTCGGCTCAAGCAGCCAACGATTCTGTGATATATCTTTCCGATCTTTATCTAGACCCACAAAACGATCCATGCAACGCTCTTGGGTATATCGCTAACAATACGCTCACTGCTGTCGCCTTTGGTGAGTGACCACTAAGCCACGGAAACACGTAGCTTATGGTGCAAAGTTTATGTGCTGTTGGTCGTCCTCATTCAGACTTGTCAAGTAGTCTATAACGGCGGGCAGTTCATGTTGTCCATGGTTATCGGGGAATACAGCACGTTGCAGTCTTTTGCTTGTTTTGGTTCTTCCTCATTTCGGTTGTAGTCTATGCTCTCGGCTTTGCATTTCGCTTCACTTTACATTACAGCCCTGACTCATTGTGGATTTTCATTTCCGAAGACTTGATGATTGTATTGTCTGTGAGTCAGCACCAAACTATGACTATGAACATGTGTTGACCCTTGAAAGCCCTGTTCCTTCATTGCTGCGAATTATGCTCTTCTTGGGCACCTTGCCGGTGAAATCGGCTGTGGTCATTACGTCTTGCTTTCAGTGAGGTGGCTCACCCCCATATTCATCTTGTCTGACGTGACTACCCTTGTAATCCAAGTGGGTGCTAATTTTTTTTTGAATGATCCTCTCTGATGATGTGGTACCGAAGGCGGTAGGAGCCTCATTGATTACGTCCAAGGTTCAAGGTTTCAAAGGCATCAACGGGACTTCATGTATGTCCTTGCACCTGGTGTTTGCGTGTGGGAATCTGATCTAACTCTATCTATCAGATTTTGTTGGCCGGCCTCTCCGTACAACTGTTCTCCTTCGGTTTCTTTTGTGCCGTTTATGCACGATTCCTCTACAAGATCTACACTGAGGAACAGGATGTCTGGGTGCGAGACTCAAAACAACCCTGGTATAGCGACTGGCCAACACTCGCCACTGCCTTGGCGGTCAGTTGTATCGGAATTCTGGTTCGTGTTACATGTAGACAGTAATCTCACAGCCTTTGACTGATACTTGGATAGGTTCGTTCTGTCTATCGTGTTGTGGAAGCTAGTCAGGGTTTCCGCGGCAATCTCAGCACAAGCGAGACAGCCTTCTATCTGGGTGATATGATTTCCATTTGCTTGGCTATCTTTGTGTATGTTCCATTCTGGCCTGGAAGGTTCATAAAGAATAGCAGTCATCCCTCTTCTAGTGTGACCCTTGAGGTAAGCCATGCTCATTTCATTTCATTGGTACATTATGTTGATCATCGTCGTCAGCAAGGTGCCGGAATCGGTGCCTGCGGAAATTTCCGGCATCAAGCGTCCAGTTGAGCGAAAGCCACGCGTCCTTCTTCGTTCCCTCCTTTGCCTTCCTTTCAACGATGAGCTCGGTCTCGCTGGGACTCATTCTCGCTCTGGACGTCCTCTCTTTTTGCACGCACCGGCCTCTCCCTTTCCTTAATATTTCGTTTCGCAGTCGATTAGCCTTTATCATATTCACGCACACGCTTAAAATTATCATTAATCCAATAGTAATTAACCATACTGTTTTCCTATTCAAGTCTGACACGATTCAATCCGCGATCAGTTGTCCTACCCAGCTACTCGTGTTCCACCTCGAGCTTTGCTCGGTCCAGCCCAACTACCCTAAGATTATGTCAACGAACAGCAGCATCAGCGCAGACGAAGCTGGATCATCGCATTTCTTTTTTCTTGTTATCAGTTGCGTTAGCGGACCGGTCTGTTAAACGTGATGGTAAACTTAAAATCGATCACAAGTACTGCCAGTGGGTTTAATTCAAGTAGCCGGCTGGATTGTTTTTGATTTGTCAGCTCCTCGTCGTCAGTCAACGACCTATAGCTAGCACTCCCTCTCGCTGAACATTCTCTTTGTCTGCGTGACATAATTGAGAAACGAGGAAGAAACCGGTTGGCTCTACTTTGTCATTGTGTTTTACTTACTCGTGGCTGCAGCTTCCCCATATTCTGCTTGTCATCGTCCTTGTCATTGCTCTTGCCTCCCGTTTTGCTGGTGAAGCTCGTCCGTCGTGTTTTACGCAAGTTCTTCGGGCTTTTGAGGTCTCTCAAGTTCGACAAGTGATTAGTATCCTGTTGGATGTTTGTTTCTCGTCACCTGTTCCCACTTTACGGTATGTAGAGAATTTTCTTCCATGACGCGTGTCAATTATGATACCATCGCTTGCGCACGTTTTATTCGTGTTCAGACAACTGATCTGGAGGACTACTTATACTATGACATGTATATGATACTGAATTTCATCGTGTTCCTACTTTTAAAGAGGCCCTAGCAACATTTTGTGCATCAGGTTATGCCTGATCCTGATTCTTTCTCCAATCCTTCGCAGCACCTAAGCTGTAATCATGATGGAGCCAGTCGGCCCGACCGTTTTGCGGCGAGTGACGACGACACAAACCAAGCGAAGCATCGCCGAGGTTGTGAAGGAATACTGGTCACAATGATCAGGATAGTCCTTGGCATGTGACTCACTAGGTTTGCACTAGGTACAGAGGTTCTTTACCAAGCCTCTCAGCCAACGTCTACTTGCAAATTTCTCTTGCTAGTCTTGGACTCATCGCAGAACGTGTTTCGGCATGCTCTCCCCAGGCCTGCTATCTCTCACATGCTGCTAGCCCCACGCACGCATACTTATCTCTCTGTTTGGTTGCATTCTGACGCGCCTCATCCGTCTTTGTTGACTTCAACCTCAACATTTCGAATTCAATGTAGCGCATCCAAGCTTAATCCAAGCTGGCCTTTCAGTTGTGGGACACCCTGCAACACGCAGACGCACAACTTCTCATATTATTACTATCTCTGCATCCGCTCAGAGTCATTCAGAGCCGAGCTTTAGGGTACGCGGATAAGCTGAGTGGATCCTGACATCTGGATGCAAAAAGGCGATAACCATTTCATTGGCTTTCTCTAGCTTTCATGTGTGTATTCAAGAATTATTTCATCAAGTTCATACCTTGACTTACACTTGTGCTTAGATTTGGCTTAAATACGCCTCTTTGACCATCCCAGCACCTCGACATCGCCCACTTAGTACAGCTGAGTACACACGGCATGCGTGTTCTCTGTTGGACATCGGATCTATCTCTTACAGCTATGATCGATATACAACTCCGAGTCGAATTTCAAACCGAGTTTCGAATTCCCTGTCGATCCTCCTAATGAGAATCCATCTAGATCTCTATAAATCTTCAGATTTTCATTTTGCTTCCGTCGATCTTCAGACTCGTGTCGTCTCCTTTTGCGTTGCACACACATAGTATGAACCTCGCAAAACTAGGTGGTATGCCATCTCGAATTTGATCATTATTGTTAAGCAAATGTAGTATGCAGTGTATTTCGTACCAATTAGCGAGGCTGCTACTAGACCGTCCATGCAGGCGAGCAAGGCGCGTATTCACTCGTATCTCCCTGTCATCTTTTAAGGCAACAGGACGAAAGTGCACGTCGTGTCCTCTCTTATATCAATGCACCCTCAGAGTACATAGTCACATACTTGGCCACCCTCCGGCCGGTGATGAGATTTTATTAGATTCACAACCTCCACTGTACCGTGTCAAACATGTATTGTATAGGAAAATACTAGTAAGGAATGAACATACTTTAACGCGCGACTGACCAATGAAATTTAATGAACAGCCAGATATGCGCAAAGTATATGGTTTGTAATGAAACAACAGCGAACGACATAAACTAAAAACAGACTAGAGCAAGGAATGATATTAGATTACAGATGAAGGCTACACGGTCAGCGTTAATGCAGGCATACATTCTTCCGAGATCCACAGAAACCAGTCCCAGTATGAGAGGCCAACCAGTGCTTGCATCGATACTTGAGTCCGAGATGTTTCTCGACGATGTGACGGATGATTGTATCTCTCCGCACAGGCTTATGGAGTTCACAGTCCTTCCATAGACATTTCAAGCGGCTGCTGGCGGGTAAAGGTGACTTGAAATGGTATGATGACATATGTTCCCCGGTCCTGGTTACATTTATAGTCCTCCCACATATACCATAGCCATCATTCCACTGGCACACAGACGCATGATCGGCGTGCGATTCTGACTTAACATCGTTGACCACGTATTGAGGATGAGGGTAAACTTCTTGCAATGGATGACGTGGGTCGTAATGGAAATTTGCGTCAGAGAAGTCCATAGGAATGTGGGCAGGCAAACAGTTGGAAAAGGCACAGGGATGATAGCTTGAAGAAACGCGGCGTGTATGCCATCCAGCAGCATCACTAAAGAAAAGAAGTTTGATCTGCTAAGAACAACATCGTCGATACCATCCAAGGATCTCGTACCTTTGAATGTCGCCCTGAGCTATTGGGATCGGCAATATACACGCATCAAGTACGTCGTCACATGCAACGTGATGCTGGGAAACAGTGGGCGTAGAATTGCCAGGAGAATCCTCTAGTACAGAACGCAGGAAGTATTGCTGAGGCTGAGAAGTCAACTGTCCCTATAGCAAGACGTCAGCGCTTCACATCGTTCGCACTGCGCAGACCGAACGTACATAATCGGTAGTTGTTTGCAAGCGCTCCGCATTTGACGCCTTGATGTGTGGGTATAGTTCTGAATCCTGCTGCCTGCACGAGGGGATGAGAAACAAGAAGAAATACGGCGGCACAGATCAGACGTACCAGAAATTGTAGGGCATGCTGCGATACACTGTGAATGAAATTGAACACTGAACATATTGACAACTCGGAATCCTTCGAACAATATAAGCCGAAAGACGTGCCAGGAAGGCCGACGGCCAATGGTTGTCTGTAGGCCAAGGGTTAGTGGCATGAAGGCGAAGTTGGGGGAGATGAAAAGCCACGACTCCCAATCACTAGAGATTCATATCATATGCAAAATAAAGTACGGAGGCCAAAGGCCAGAGGCCTTGGAGACGATATGTATAGGTTAGGTCGACGGGTTTTGTTGAAGAAAATGATCTAGAGTTGAAAGAAACGAAAGTTGCATGAGGCAGCGATGGTTTTAAAATCGGTGGCAGTTTTGGGCTGTGGCTGTCTGAGATCGTAGAACAGATGTGCGACTCCAAGGCTTACCTCTACACGACGCAGCCCCAGATTTGGAATTATTCATGGAACGCTCTCATTGGTCAAACAGTTTGTTCCTGTAGCGGTTCCAATATCATGAACGTTTGTTTGAACATCTGGCCAGTCACGACAAAATGAAAGGTCTGTGGGAATCTCTGGCTATTGATGAGAAGTACTATGACGGCGACGCGCCTCATGGGAGTAGTGTCGTGGGCAGAAGTCTGCCATTCTGCCAACGGCAATTGCCGGGAGTAGGTCGAGGGCCTTGGGCAGAAGTCGATGTGAATCTTATTTGCACTACAAGCCAAACGAGCCAGAGAAGGTGGATAAAGGAATTGCAGTGTACACCTGCAGGATTTATTGAAGAGATCGATGTGGTTGGTTTTGGGTCACAAGACATGGAAGCAGTCCTGGAACATCGATGCATGCTCACTTCAGAAGGTCTCGTGCTAAGTGCGGATAGAAATTCGGTCAAATTTTGGCCTGAACCTGTGGGGCTTGTGTAACGTTAATATATTTTTATAGGTAACAAATATCATCCTCGGGGCCGAATTAGATCAACAGTCAAACTTTGAACACTTTTTATGTTCCAATATTTGACTTTGGGGTCGACAGCTTGTTGATTTTCGGAGTATTATGGAACTTCATTCTGGAATATCCAGATCAGATATATCCATGCGGTATGTGTTCGCTGCGTTCCTCACGTGCAGTGCTATCCCAGCGGCGCTATATTTGCAACTACGAAGACCACCAAGTTTGGTCTACAGGTATTTTTTTCACAGTGCTGGGAACTTGGGCTTATAAGTGTGATCAAAATCATGATTTCCTGGACTCCACCTTCCTACTCTTTCCTGTGTAAGTCAGAAAGACACTGATGATGTCCGAGTCGGTACCAGTTATCTACATGCACTCCACGCTTACTAATATCGTTATCATCGAGGTACCGTTGAACAGAAAGTACAAATGGCCTTGGACTGACCCTTCATTGTTACAAGGCCGAATCACGATGATATCTGACAACTATACCGGGTTCAGTAACGTTTATTTCGGGTTCTCTAGGTTTGGCCCAGAATCGTACATTCAAGTTGCGTTTCAGGAAGGTTGCAATGTAAAATATTTCGGCCTTCATATCACTTTCGGTGAGTGCCATGTAAACGTTTTTTGTCATGCCTTATCTCTTACCATTTTCCTTGGGCTGTCAGCGGCGTCTTCACATCGGCCAACTAGGGTCACTGAAGGCCAGCTCGGATCACAGATGGCCGATCACAACCAAGATACATGAAAACGCATGGTTTGTGGGAGTGGAGGCCAACGCTAGAGCTAAACTTACATTATGGCCAGTGTATCTGAATGAAATGGCGCACCACATTCCGCATCATCGGAGGCACGTTTCGAGATCCTCTCCAGGTGTTACCGATAAATGTTCGCTTCAAGCATTATTTGGGGCCGCAAGTCTTCAAGTCACAGATGCCAGTCTCTGGCCTTTGGCCTGCGCATATCAATACTGCTCCCTTCTTGTCCTAGCTGGCCCTGCATGTCACCAGTTCTTGGCCTACAAGCTGTCTTTGGTCTTTGGTTGTCGTTCTTCAAGGTCATTCCTGCCAGTCTCTGGCCTTTGGCCTGCACGTATCAATATTGTTCCATTCCTGTCCTAGCTGGCCCTGCATGCCACCAGTCCTTGGCCTACAAGCCGTCTTTGGTCTTTGGTTGTCGCCCTTCATGGTCATTCCTGCCAGTTTATGCCACTACATAAGTTCTTTTTCTTTTTCCTTTTCTTTCAAAACCAATGTCCAGTCCCTCTTCCTCAGCGGAGCGCGGGACGGATTATGATTTCTGGTGCGTCCGTACTTCTACATTTCTTTTTGGTGTTGATGCCTTGTATAGGGGGCAGGATTCAGAGCTATCTAAGGCATTGTGTGCAGCACGGCCAGGTGTCGCCAAGGTATATTTCGTCTGTGCTTGTGAACAGTATTGCGTTGATATATATTTGCTGTAGGGCTCATCGTTCTCTCGGCCTCAGCAAAACTACTATTCATCTTCGCCTCCAGGGAATCCCCAAACTGTGGTTACTCAGCATCACCTTATGTGTGGGGGAGACACGACGAGCAATGAAGGTCATTCTCGCCTGGTCCATGACAATCAAACAGAATCGCACGAATCTTCCTCGGCGGATCGCACAATATTTTATGATTTCTGGTGGGTCCATACTCCAATGTTTTTTGTCGGTGTTGATCCCTTGCACAGGCGGGAGGATTCGGAGTTATCTAAGGCATTGTGTACGAAACAGCTGGAATTTGTCGATGATGTATGTTTCGTCTGCCCGTAAACAGTAGTTCGCTAATATTTTCGCTATAGAGCCCGTCGTCCTCTCAGCCTCAACAGGATTACCACTTGACTTGGTCTCTAGGGGATTTCCCAATCATGGTTTCTCAGCGTCACCTTATGTATGGCGGGGACTCGACGAGAAACGATCAAGTGTCTGCCCTTCCAGGGTTTTCTCAAAATAGTAGTGTCTTTTCAGGTGATTTGACGCACTCGTTTCCCGAGAACGATCAGCACTATGCTCAGAAGTACAATTTCCCCGATGTCCCTATTTAACGGAAATTAATTAATTCAATAGTGCTACTGGACATAATGCCTCTTTCAACCATTTCCCCTCTCCTTTCTCCGACGCTCCATTTACTACCAGTGGAGGATCTTCTGGAGACGTTTCCGAATCAATCCCCATTAAGGGTCACCCTCACCCGATCCATGGCATCAAATCAGAGTTGCACGCATCTAACCTCTTGTTGGTCTGCGAGTGGAATGATGGTCAGGGTCCATGCAACAAGATCCTAAATGAAGGAGAGATCGCTCACCACGTGTCGTCATCCCATCTTCCACCGCCTGGTCGCACCCGTATGAAATGTCAATGGGAGGGATGCACACTCCAAAACCTCTTGCGCCGAGACACAGTCATTCGCCACATACGTCAAATTCACCTCGAGATAAAACCCCGACGCCGGACAAGGTCACTTCGAGTCATATATGGCTAGACTCCGTCACACATTCACAGCCCTGTTAATCACAATTGCTTCGACCACCATTGGCAGCACTTTTTAGTGCTTCTCATGGTCTAACGGTCTTTAGGACACCATGGGTGTCTCTCGCACCATCATAAGGAGCCTCTGGTGCTGTCTCTGAGACCCTCTGTCAGAGTCCGAACGATCCGAGATAGAGAGATCTGGAGAATGAGGCTGTGCGAGCGCAAACCAAATGAGGGACAGACGAGCGACGTTTTGACGCCGGCTCATGCCCATGCATATCGACATGTTTTTGTTTTCCTTTATTACATATATTTTCGTTCCTAAACTAACAAGCATAAACCTACGACTAGAGCCGTACGAAGATCTCAGTTCTTTCCCGAGGCTAAGATGTCAGCCTTCGTTATCCTTTTGTCATTGTCATTAGCCAGTAGCTATATTGTTTTCTACTAGCTTCATCTATCGCGTCCTGCACCTCACGTACTGAGACCCTCCGCATCACTTTATGTGATTTGATCCCCTCACACTTGTGTCATTTTTTCCCTTCGCACTTATATATGTTTCCCCCGCGCTCATGTTATGTTGTCCTTTCTTGCTTTCTGATGATAATTGCACTATTTGGTATCTTGTTTTCTATAGCAGCTCCAAAGCCTGATCTTGTTGTCTCCAAAATACGATTGAAATTACTGAAAATCTAGAATGACGGCACCGGGCCTACATATCATCGATTAAGATACATTAATATTGTTAAGGACGAAGGCATGACGTGACATAAATGTAAAAGGGAAACATAACAAAGGTCTCGAAGGAAAACAAATATTGAACATGCAATCGTAGTTAATACGGTCATGGATGTAGACGGCATTTAGCCATAATACGACTCGAAGTAACCTACTGCTGGCGTCGGGGATCGATGTTGAGTTCAACTTCACGGATGTGACGAAGGATTGTATCTCGGCCAATAGGCTTTTTGCGTTTACATCCCTGCCATTTGCATTTCAAGGGAGGGGAACCAGGTGGTGGAAGATGGGATGACGCTACATGGGCCACGAGTATATCTTTATGTATGGCGATCGTGTCGCATGGACCGTCACCATTATCCCACTTGCAGACAAGCGAGGGGCTAAACGCATGCGATTCTGATGGGTGACCATCAACGGGGGGTGATTCAGAAACGTTGCCAGAAGACTCCAAATTGTTAACAGACGGGTCGTTGGAAGGAGGATGGATGAAAGGGGCGTTGTGGGAAGGCTGAGAGGACGACATGTCCTACAGCGAAATATGAGTGCATTACTGTTTACAAGCACAGACGAAACGCACAGTATCAACAGATCTTGGCTGTTCTACAAAAAATGCCTTGCGTAGCCCCGAATCCTTCGCCCTGTGCAAGGGATCAACATCAAAAGGAAACGTGGGTGTACGGACGTACCAGTAGTTACGATCCGAGTTGCAGTAGTTACAATCCGGCTTGCAGCAGTTATAATGCATTCTGCGATTCGCTGGGTAAGAGCGACTCAAGGATATGGTTTCGAAACTTTAGTGTCGCAGACATAATTTTGAAATTTATGTAGTTCCGTAGACTGGCAGAAACAACCATGAAGGCCGACTAGTAAAGGTGGCATGTTCGTCCTCAGGCCAAGAACCGGTGGCATGCAGGGCCAGCTAGGACAAGAACGGAAAGATATGAAAATTGATCATCAAAGCTACCCCGCCAGTAGTCCTTTGGGGCGGAACGGCGAATGACAAAATACCGCGGACGACAAAGGCCAGAGACTGACTGTAAAGATGAGATTCATTTCGGTGGTGTCATGTTGGACTAACCCCGAGTGATGCTTGAAGCTACTTTTCAAAGTTTAGCCCTGGCCTTGGCCTCCACTCCCACGCGGTTGGCAAGCTCGACCATGAACATCATGTTTTGATCTGTATTGGTTGTAAACAGCCATCAGTGAGGCCAACCGGTCAATGTGGCGAGCCGTGTCTGATAGAAAAGGAAAACGGGAGCACGAGAAAATAAAGCGCATAATCAACAACGCTTCTAGTATAATTAGCGCCCACAACAGTGATAAGGAGGCCGAAGTATTCCACATCGCAACCTTCCATCGGAACCTCGAGAGCCCGAGAAGAACATAGCAAAACCCGCCATCGTTATGAAGCCTTTGCCTCCGAGGGATGTTCAGCCACCGAAGGCCGATCTAATGGTTACGTGCTGCTGACATTGTGACTTGGCCTATGCCTTCATTCCGTCGGAGTCGTGTGCACTTTCTGTTCAATGATACCCTGATGGTAATGACATCAAGCGCAAGATGCAGGCAGACAAATGGAACATACCCTTGTGTGTCGACATCATCAGTGTCTTTCTGGCTTACACAGGAAAAAGTCAAAAAGGTGGGAACAAGCAATCATAATGTGGGTCACACTTTTAAGCTCCCAAGTTCCCAGCACCGCCAAAAAAAAATCCTGTAAAAATCCAGTAGACATCCATCCAGTTAATTTGGCGTTCCCTGCTGTGCAAATATAGCACTTCGGCAGGCCGCCGAGTTGGCACTGCGCGTGAAGAGCGCGACAAACAGTCGATTTGCCTACCGTATGTATCTGATCTGGATATTCCAGAATGAAGTTCCATAGTTCCATGATTATCATAGATGCTCTAGAGATCAACCACTGTCTTGAGCTATCGATCCAAATCCAAAGGTTAAAAATAATCGTATAGTAGAAGAAGAAAAGGTGGAGGTTCGACTGCTTGTTTTGTTACGGATTCGGTCCTAAGTCGACGATGATTGAGCTGTAAAAATATCTTAACGTTACAGATGTAAACTTACAGAATAGTAAGGCTGCGGGAGAAGCATTTCGTGGGATTGGTAGAAGATACACTTAACACTAACCGCCGATGCCTCACATGTTGCATTGCTCAGTCTGATTATGGCAAGTGCACGTCTTACAGTTCTAGAAGATAGTAAATAAACAAATAACGATACTCCAACAACACACTCATCTCAGTGACAGCCATACATGTATCGGAGGTCAGGCCTCCAAGCTTCAGGCCTTCATAACAGAACTCCATGGCTAGCGGTACTATGCATGTGCTAAAGATAAGTGTTGCGTTTATTTCATGTGCCTGATCGTATCTTCAGCTCCTCCGGGGTGGTGGTGTACATATCCCACGAGGGGTCTTGAAACTTGATTTTAGAATTCGACTCTGGAGAACAGAATGCCATTGAACCTGTTCACTAGCCCAGATCAAGCATTACGTGGATCATCCAAAAGCACAACACGAATGACAATTTAACAAAGCGAAAGCTATGTATCGGGGTCCACAATTCGCCCACTAGGGCCCTACTGAAGAATGTAGGTGAATGGCAGCCAACAAAATGTAAAACAGAGAACAAGCAGAAGAATTAACGATACGGTGCATAGATACAACAACCAATAGACCAGTGGTAGTAAGGATGAGTAATGTAGGTGTGGAACCCACGTACTGCCTAGTGATGCGTTGCCTTCACAATGCTGACTACGATGATGATTATGATGATTGCTACCGCGACGCCAATGATCATGCGCATCTAAAGATGGGGTCAGTTTTGAACGTGATGTCGAGCGGCGAGTTCAACGGACCTTCATGTCTTTCCACCTGAGAAATTGAGAGTTCGATAAATCTTGGTCCCACCAAAAAGGAAATATCACACTCACCACATGTTCTGTTGAATATGCTTTAGTATTAAATCAACGTAAAGAAGTCAAGTCAAACTCACCTTCCGTACTCGGTTAGCACCACGACGGAAGCCCTGTGCCGAAACAGCAAGGTTGTCTAGGGAAATAGCTTCGAACTTTGCTCAAATACACCAGAGCGCGAGATCAAGCACCTGTCTTATCCTGTAATGAGTCCAATCTTTCTCCACGTTCTGCGACTTTTGTGATGTTCTCCCTCATAATGCCGACGGTGTCGTCAATTTGTTGCTGGATAGCTGCGGTTTTAGGGTTTCCACCTTGACTTGACCCGCCAGCGGGATTGGATGAGGAGCCATTGCGGGGGAGGTAAGGGTCGTAAGGTTCGGACCTATGATAGTGATAAATACAATTGAACTACGGCGCCTGCGCCATTTCGGAGAACAAACGAACATGACTATAAAAGGACGCTAAAAGGGCTCTGAAACGATGAAGTTCAGTAGTGGAATCAGCAGCGGATTAGTGTGGTCTCTGTAAATGGGACACACGTTGGAAGTGAGATTTGGAGGGCGGAGCTACTTGAAGAGTGACTGGAGTGACTGCGTAGAGGCGTTGCTGAGGCAAGTGGGGAGGCAGCGGTATTCGCACGCACCAGTGACGTGTAACCGCTTTGTGACACTTTCTTGTTTTAGCTTTATACCCCTCTGTGCGCCCTTTCCAACACACCACGAGTACTGGCTTGTCGCGCTTGTGTCAATGATATTTACAGGACAATCAATTCAAGCTCTGGGTACTGGATCATGATATTTGGCCTAATTTAATATACCAATCCTCCAACTTGGTCCTCATGTTCGCAGCTGTAGGACGTAGAAGTGTTATTTCAAAGGCAAGCAGTGCTATACGAGAGAACGAAATTCAGGGCACTCAAGCCCATCTAAGGACGTTTGAACGTTGAACTATGTACTGTGCTCCGAATTTAGACTCGACACCATATTACATATATGAATCGTAAGTCCTGGACAGTGATAATTCGCATCGCAGGCTCGGTCGCCGTCACAACAGAGCCGAGGGCCGAGGCTCTCCAGCTTTGGTTCAGCGACTGCGTGGTTTCCGTAGTCAAGTACCCATAAATTGATATCTTCGGAATTACCAAATTTGGTCACGGCACAAGCCGAAGTTGAATCCCCGCTACCCATCGAATCTACCCCGTCCTCGAAGGCACCACCAAATCAGCAAGCCCCGGCAATTCCGTCAAGGTAAGCACGAATCCATGCCATTTCGCTTCACCAAACACCAGGAATGCATCCGTTCTGTTCATGCGCGAAGTTGGGACGAATTCCAGCCAAAGATAGGCTGTAGGAGTGGTGGATGAATCAGACTGATAACGGATGACGTTTCTGGCTTGTCGCATATTCACATGAGCTTTGGAAAGGATGCAGACTGACTTACTCCCGTCGTGCGCGCTGCTTCTATAGATGGTGCGTCTCTGCTGCATATACACCCATTGCTGAAATCTAAATCGTTCGATGTGATTGAGTAGAAGGTCGAAATCGACGCGTTCTCCGGTTTCCGTGTGTACCCCTCCAAGGGCAAACTCTTTGTCCGTGGAGACTCCAAAGTCAGCTCGTCTCCTCCGCTTTCAAGCTTCCTGCCTGAACGCCCCTTGCAATATAGGTTTTCCGATTCGCTAGTTCCAAGAACTCTTCCCTGTTCCTCCAGCGCAAGAACCCACGTAAGATCGCATGGACACAGGTCTACCGCCGCATGCACAAGAAGGGTATCACTGAGGAAGTCGCTAAGAAGCGTTCCCGCCGGACTGTGAAGCACCAACGTGGTATCGTTGGTGCTGACCTTGCTACTATCGCTGCCAGGCGCAACCAGACCGCTGCTGTCCGCAACCAGCAGAGAATTTCGGCCATTGCAAAGGCCAAGACTGAGAAGAAAGAGAAGGAGTCGAAAAAGGCCAAGGTATGTCCTCGAAAGTTCAAGGGGTACGTACGACTTATGCCGGTGTAGCCTGCACGTGCGCCTGTTGCGAGCGGACCCAGGGTATCGAAGCAGCAAATGAAGGGTGGCAAGGGTGGCCGATGAGCAGTTCTTTTGTTGTTGGCATATGCCTATGTATCGCACATCCTTTTCGTCATGACTTCTCGCGCGCAAAATCTATGCTGCATGCTTCCACATGGTATATCCGCTTCTAATTCTGAGGATGTGACGTAGATCTCGTGCATTTCGATGCTCAATTAGCTCTCGTGGTAGAGCTGTTAATCATAACAAATATGTTGGCAATAAAACCAATAATACAGGTATGTGCAAGGTATCCGTACAAAATGTCCGCAGGAAGATCTAGAATACGGGCAATTGATGACGATGGTATATACTAGTGTAGTCCAATAGATGAGATGGCAAATCAAAGTTTTGGTGCGTTATTGACACGCTCTGGGGCGTATTTCGCCTGTGCGTTCCGTTAGAAAAGGCTATGAGAAGTGCTTGAAAAATACCATTTCGTTCTCCTTCTTGACATAGCCACACTTTTCGTAAAAGGCTGTGGGATGTTACTCAGTATAAGCGAAAGTCCATGGAGCGGAGCAACTCACGAATGTTAGCATCATTACAGTTCAAGATGGACTTATAACAGCCGCTACTCTCACTGATATGCGTGAGAGCCTGGATGAGACGGAGGCCAAGCTTCTTGCCCTGGTAGTTTTTGTCGACGGCGATATCCTCGACGTGGCCGACGCTGCCGAGACCACGGAGGAACTTGCGCTCGATGAAGACTGTGCCAACTCCGATGATCTTGTCGCTCGCCTTGTCGAGGATGACGATGGAGAAGTATGCGCACGGTGTTGCACGCATGGCGTGGAACTGATTGACCCACGCTACCTCGCCGAGGTCGTTGACGACGGATAGACCGGAAAGGACATCGAGATGTCCGCGTTTGTAATCTGTTGACGCAAGCGGACGTATCTATGTTTTGTTTAATGCGAAAAGCAATGTGAGAGTGACGATGGTCGACTTACCTGGAGATCAGAGGGAAGCTGTGCTGAAACTTCAGGTGAAATGAGCTCTTGAGGGAACATAAGGTCTAGGGATGGGAGATCTGCGCGTGGCGTGGACACGGTGTTGATTATTGACATCGTAGTAGTGATAATGAGTTAAGGAGAATATTCAAGTGAGGACTGATTCTGAAGAGAACGGCGATACGATGGCTGATGAGTAGGTTGTTGGTTGAAGGGCATCGTACATATGCCATCAACGCTCTTATATGTACGTTGCCAAACATAGCCACCTGAACCCCTCCCAAGCCATTTAACGACTTAACCGGTTATAACCGGGTCAAGTTATAACTCTTTTAACAGCTTAGTGACTGTAATAAGTACGTGACTAGTGCGCTAGCCTCCGCAAACAACTCGCTTCGTGGTCGTCAACGATGAAATCATTGTTGGATTTCGGCGTCGATTCGGGTACGAATCGGACGCGAATCTGGAGCCTCGAAAACTTGTCAAACACGCCGTAGTCTGGTTTCTGTCGACTTGACATACTTCGCTCAGCAGTGTGCGCTCGCCGCTGGTGCATCTGCGCATACATAGCTAATGGCATATCCAAGACGGCATACAGCTCTTTGCACATCAAAGGTCCTTACGGAGGATGAAAATCGATAGCTTTGTGTTCAAAAATCAAGAAACTAACTCGATCATTGGAACTTAATCCCGTTGTATCATTCAACCTGGAGGAGACAGGTTCTGTGACCCTCCTGTTCAGAGACGAAGATGCTTCGCACCACGCATGCATACGATAGGGCACATTTAGTCTTGAAGATCATGGCGAAAGCAAAACCCACCTCATTCGCACGCGAAATCAAAGTCTGCAGGGCTTTGAAGGCATGCAACGGAGACATGGAGGATGGGATGTCCTCTGGAGTATGGCATGCGCTCTCGCATAGCAGCCAAAAGGCCCCCAAGATCTTGTCAGGACTGTTCAGGAAAGGTACGCTGGCAGATGAACTTGTTGTGAAATTTTCACCGTTTAGATTCTCTTCCTGTCATAGGGCGTACGCTCTGTGAAGAATATACGGCATGGCTAGGCCGACTACCAGGCCCATCAGTCGACGCTACTACGGGTCAATGACTTTCGCCTCGACGACCTGGAAATACTAGGACTCTCCCCGGAACCATACTCTTCACAGCAGCGTAAGAGGCAAAGGCACATTCGGACTTGCTAATGAAGAAGTTCCTGCGAGCAGAGCTCTCAGAGTACGAGTATGAGCCGGGAGAGGACACTCTAGATAAGACCACAAAAGAATGGGTGGTTGAGATGGGCATCGTCGGTTGTCTCGCATGGCTATGGAAGCATGAGAGGGATGTAGTGGACTTCGTTCTGGATGCGTTTCCATTGGGCATGAATCTCAAGTTGTTCGAAGATGAATCCACCGGGAGTACCTGAATTAGGTGTGCATCTTATTCAGCGCTCGAGATCAGTTATTGAAAACACACAGTAGTGCCTATTGCATAATAACTTCACTACTTTGCAAGTTCACCGAGTCGAGTGTCAATCTTTCTTGTCATGGGACACGGGGGCAAGAATTGACCAGAGTTGTCACCACAACGGCTGCGTAATACTGCCCTAGCCATGAGGCACACACGTTCTCCTTCTGCGTGTGAATGTAGACGCATCCAAGAGTACTCCGAACTTGAGGGGGTCTTTATCATGCTGCACGTAGCAGGCCAGTCACCGTTAGCGCTGTCATTTGGGTTGCCTTTCAACAACTGTGAGTTTCATTTTGTTATTCATTGATCACTTGTTTGAAGCTAGCAGCGGAAGGTCAATACCGAGACTATGACCTACTACGAATTTCACGATCTTGAATGCTTCTCGTCTGTGCATGTGATAGATGGATAACCCGTGGTCACTGCTTGAAACGAAATTTGAATTTGAACTCTATCAATCATACATAATAACTTGATAAGGTATAGTGCTATATGCTGTTGGCCCCTGCGCCTTTATGTAAAGTGTTTGATGACAACGCCACATGCGTTCAGCGCTGAGCGCTCATTGCACTCAGTTCTTAGATTCGTTGAACTCTGCACCATGACACGACGTCGCAAGAATACACCGAAACAAAAAGCCAGAACAGAGCTTGCAGGAGAAGCTCAGAAGACAGATGGCCCTCTCAGTCCGCGTGCACCTACGACACAATACCAACATTTCATTCCACGGTTCATATTGCGAAGATTCCAAGTCGGACCGGTGAGGTGCGTTTTCAGAGTCCTCTCGAGCACTCTGCGGGTAGACACTAGACCAGAACACTGAATAATATTCTCTGCAGGTCTAAAACAGAACGACAACAAGAATTTCGACGCACAGGTGTTGATCCTGAATACGTCCACTACTATGATATCGCTACAGGTAGCCTTGACATCCGTCCTATTGGAAAGGTGTACGGCGTACCAAATGTCTACCAGGATGTCCGCGACACCCAGAATATTAACAAAGTAGAGGAGAAATTAGCGGACCTCGAGCGTCATGCGGCCTCCATTATCATGGACTTGCATGAAGCGCTTCCTCAGGGTACTTTCACTCTGAAGCGGAGGTCGCTAGAGCTCCTGAGGAAGTTCCTGTTTATCATGCATTATCGCAATGTATCATATTCTGGAACTTACTTTCAAGCGGATCACCCAGAGAACGCAGGAGGCCGTCAGTGGATTGAGTCCTTCATGAAGGCGAAGGGCATCGATTCCGCTGTCGGGGTATGGCTACACTTCCTCGAATACTACTTGGATTCATCTCATTCAGACATCATGCGAGATGCTGCAAAACTGGTAGAGAAGTACGGTGAAGAAGGTCTTCAAAACATGATGTTTCAATCGCATATCCCACCTCATCTCGAACACTTTCCGGCTTACACTTACCACACTCACGCGAACAACTACTTCTTCAGTATCTGGGAAGCCGCGGAAGGAGAAGAATTTATCCTAACACACAACGCATTTGGCTTGTGGGAAGGCTTGGCAGATGGCTGCCCCGACTTGCACCGCATATTCATAGTTAGCCCTCGCATCGCTCTCATCCTGCGTCATATTGCATTGCGTCCAGAGATGAAAGCATACATAAAGCATGTTTCGCTCGCGAGCTCCTTGCTTGACGTGAATCCAGCACCACCAGCTCCAACTTACGCCAGTGGAAGACATGGTCTACATATCGAGCACGTAAATTTCCAATCTGCGGCGTCGCTTGCACATTACAGATCCTCCCAGACAGGGGCGAACGACAGTTTTTTGTTCAAGATCACAAAACTATCGCGACGCCAGACATTGGAGCTCAATTCCGTTCTATTAGTCAACGTGAAGGAAACGGGCTCTTTGACCTTCCTGTCAAGGGGGAGTATGCTCCGCACCGCGCGTGCGTTCCGGAGTTCACCAGCCAACTTTCTTGCGAGCGAGCTGCTCGTTCCGCTCATCGCGCAATTGGCGGATACCATGGAGACAGAGGTGTTGCCTCCATCTCCCGTGTATTTTGCTGTCTATTGCATCTTCATCGCCTTATTGGTATATCTTGTATATCTTGGTATTGTGAAGTTGGTATCACTAGTCATGTAACGCACAATCTGAACCCTCCCAAGCCATTTAAGCGCCCTTATGTAAAGTGTTCGCCACATGCGTTCAGCGCTGAGCGCTCATTGCACTCAGTTCTTAGATTCGTTGAACTCTGCACCATGACACGACGTCGCAAGAATACACCAAAACAACAAGCCGGAATAGAGCTTACAGGAGAAGCTCAGGAGACAGGCGGCCCTCTGAGTCCGCGTGCACCTATTACGACACAATACCAACATTTCATTCCACGGTTCATATTGCGAAGATTCCAAGTCGGACCAGTGAAGTGTGTTTCCAGAGTCCTCTCGAGCACTCTGCATGTAGACACTGGACGAGAGCACTGAATGATTTTCTCTGCAGGTCTAAAACAGAACGACAACAAGAATTTCGACGCACAGGTGTTGATCCTGAATACGTCCACTACTATGATATCGCTACAGGTAGCCTTGACATTCGTTCTATTGGAAAGGTGTACGGCGTACCGAATATCTACCAGGATGTCCGCAACACCCATGATATCAACAAAGTAGAGGAGAAATTAGCGGAGCTCGAACGTCATGCGGCCTCCATTATCACGGACTTGCATAAAGCGCTCCCTCAGGGTACTTTCACTCTGAAGCGAAGGTCGCTAGAGCTCCTGAGGAAGTTCCTGTTTATCATGCATTATCGCAATGTATCGTGCTCCGACATATACTTTCAAGCGGATCACCCGAATAACGCAAGCAGCCGTCAGTGGATTGAGTCCTTCATGAAGGCGAAGGGTATTGATTCCGCTGTCGGGGTATGGCTACACTTCCTCGAATATTACCTGGATTCATCTCATTCAGACATCATGCGAGATGCTGCAAAAGTCGTAGAGAAGTACGGTGAAGAAGGTCTTCAAGACATGATAGCTGAATCGCATATCCCACCTGATCTCGAACACTTTCCGGCTTATACTTACCACGTTCACGCGAGCTACTACTTCTTCAGTATCTGGGAAGCCGCGGAAGGAGAAGAATTCATCCTAACACAAAACGGATTTGGCTTGTGGGAAGGCTTGGCAGATGGCTACCCCGACTTGCACCGCATATTCATAGTCAGCCCTCGCATTGCTCTCATCCTGTGTAAGAATGTATTACGTCCAGAGATGAAAGCGATAGCATACATAACGCGGGTTTCGCTCAGGAGCTCCTTACTCGACGTGAATCCAGCACCACCAACTCCCATTTACGCCAGTGGACCCATCAGCCGTGCAGATCGGAATTCTGCGATATCACTTGCACGTTACAGATCCTCCCAGACAGGGGCGAACGACAGTTTTGTGTTCAAGATCGCAAAATTATCGCGACGCCAGACATTGGCGCTCAATTCCGTCCTATTAGTCAACGTGAAGCAAACGGGTTCTTTGACCTTCCTGTCAAGGGGGAGTATGCTGCGCACCGCGCGTGCGTTCCGGAGTTTTCCAGCCAATTTCCTTGCGGGCGAGCTGCTTATTCCGCTCATTGCACAATTGACGGATACCACGGAGACAGAAGTGTCGCCTCTTCGCCAGCCACCAGCGGCTGTCCTCGACCAGGACGTTGACGCACCTACACTTGTTGCATCTACACCCACACTTGTTGCACCTACTGCACCTACACCTACACCTACACCTACACTTGTTGCACCTACACTTGTTGATATAGTACTCCATGGGTTAGCATCTCTCGCGTATTTTATCTATTGCATCTTCCTCGTCTTTTTGGTATATCTTGGTATTGTGAAGTTGGCATCACTAGTCACGTAACGCACGAAACATATTCTATGTCTTGTCATCGCACCTCCCTCAGCGCTCAACGTTCAACGTAACCTCAAACGTTCGAACTGCGAAGCCCTGCGATCGAGTAGGACCGGGCATAGTACGAGATTGTGAACGACGCTTGAATATATCTTCTCATCCAAATTTTGTCCGCTCCGGCCCTTCAAAGCTTCATATACATATGCATACATTGTCGTTGCCGTCGAACAAGAATTTGAAAATATTTGTCTATGAATATTTGAGTTTAAAGTCCGACTCACCTTGCAAGCCGAATGTTGCCGTTCGAACAACCATTACTATCTCCATGTCCAAATTTGAAACCCCCTGCGACCAACAGGCACTGGATACTGATCGATCGATCGATATATGATATATGATATCTTATCGATATCGTTGGGCGACTCCGAGTCCGTGCTTGTTCAAACCAACATGGTTAGGCTTATGTTTCTATGACGGTAGCTCACGAACCCTCAAATATGTTCAGTGTGCCATGCATATGGTGCGCTGAACGGATTTGAGGAGTTGCATTTTAGCCTTGTCATGAAAACTAGCAGTGCAGGTCCTTGGTTGTAGGTGAGTCTTGTTGAGAGATAAGTGTAACCGTGACACTGACTCGGACGCTGACAGGTAAATTCTGGATCTGAAATTTAAATTTGACGGCTTAGGGATATCTGTATATGGACGGACAAGTGAAAATCCTTTGCCTCCAGGAACAAGTACTGTTGCCCTGGCCACAAGGTGCGCTACAGGTACTTATACATACGTGCTCAGTCAGTCCCTCTCACCCATACGTTTCAATCTTAAAGAATGTCGCGACGTTGTAGGAATGACCGAACCTCGAAACGGCGAGCCAACACAAAGGTCGCAGGAGTTCAGATCTTTCAGAGGGCAGGTGCCCGACGTGCGCATACATCCCAATACCAACATGTCATTCCACGGTTCATACTACAAAAATTCCAACTCGGAATTCCGAAGTGCGTTTCAGGGTCCAATCGAGCTCTTTGCATAGACTGAAATTTGAATGATTGCTTTGCAGGTCCAGAAAAGAACGAGACAAAGAATTTGAACGCACTCGTGTTGATTCCGAATGCATCCTTTACTATGATGTTGCTACGGGCAGCCTCGATACTCGCCCCATTGGAAAGGTTTACGGTGTATTGGGTATCTATCAGGATGTCCATAATACCAGAAACATCAACGAACTAGAGCATAAGCTAGCGCACCTCGAATCTGAGGCAGCCTCCATCATCAATAATTTGCATGAAGCGCTTCCTTGGGGTGCTCTCGCTTTGAAGTGCAGCTCTCTAGAGCTCCTGCAAAAGTTCCTGTTTCTCATGCATTTTCGCACCAGATCACACTCCAGCCGAGCCTTTGAAGTGGATCGTCCAGAAAACATACAGGCCCATCAGTGGGTTGAACGCATCCTGGAGGCAGATAGCACTCGATCTGCTGACGATATATGGCGGCATACCCTCAGATACTACCTAGATTCCTCGCATTCAGAGCTCATGCGAGATGCTGCATATGCTGTAGAGAGTGGTGAAGAAGACCTTCCGGAGCATATCCCATCTATCGCTTATCGCACTTACTTGGATGACTATTTCCTCAGCATCTGGGAAGCCGCGCAAGGGGAAGAATTTATACTCACGCACAATGCATTCGGTTTATCGGAAGGTTCTGCAACTGGCTGCCCTGCCCTGCACCGCATATTCGTGCTCAGCCCTCGCATTGCTGTTGTCCTATGCAATGTCCGGCTGCGGCCGGAAACAAAAAGGCGCAGAAGGTCAGGTTCACTCGAGAGCTCCTTGCTCGATGTGAATCTAACCCTACCAGTTCCAAACTACACGGCTGAAGAACGTGGCATACAGCTATTTTCACACCAAAGGTCCTCATGGGAGATGAAAATCGATAGTGTTGTGTTCAAAATCACAAAACTAACCCGATCCCAAACATTGGAGCTCAATTCCGTTGTATTATTCAACCTGGAGGAAACAGGCTCTTTGACCTTCCGGTCAGCAACGAAGATGCTTCGCACCGCGCATGCATTTCGGAGTAATTTCCCGTCGAGCCATCTGGTCATTCCGCTCATTGCACATTTGACCACCAGCCTTCAGTCAGAAGAAGTGTCGTCCCTTCATTCATCAGTAACGTCTTCAGCAGCTTCCCCCGACGAGGATTTCGACCCCCTTTCACTCGGCGATTTAGTGCTCTATGTGCTTCTCATGCAGATATGTTCGGGACGCAAGCAGTCCCCTTCGGCATATGATAGGGCACATTTCGTCCTGAAGATCATGGCAAAGGCAAAAGCAAAACCCACCTCATTCGCACGCAAAATCAGCCGAAAAGTCCGCAGGGCTTTCAGGGCATGCAAGGGAGACATGGAAGATGGGATGTCCTTCGCCGAGGGCGTCAATCCCGCCCCTTTACTTTCCTCCATTCCCAGCAAATTGTCTTCTCAACTCTTCGAATTGATGATACCGTACATGCACAAACGGGGTGTCAAGATGTCTGGAGGTGGCGAGACTTTGAAAGTGCTCCAACGTGATGTTGCCGTGGTGAGCTTTCTGCAACATGCGTCATGCAACCCTGGAGTGTGGCATGCGCTCTCGCATAGCAGTTCGGAGGCACCCGAGATCTTGTCAAGACTGTTCAAGAAGGGCACGCCGGCAGATGAATTCATTGCGAAATTTTCACCGTCAAAATTCTCTTCCCACTATAACAGGGCGTACTCTCTGCGAAAAGTATATGGCATGGCCGGGCCCACTACCAGTCCCATCAGTCAACGTTACTACGGGTTGACGGCTTTCATAATCGAATACTTTGATCACCTGGCAGTGCTAGGATTTCCGCCAGAACCGTACTTTTCGCAGTCATGCAAGAGGTCTAATGCACAGCTCGTTCACATCATGCCAAGGGCGCATTCGGACTTGCTGATGAAATGGATGAAGAAGTTCCTGCGAGCAGAGCTTGAGGAGTACGAGTACGAGTTGGGAGAGGACACTCTGGATGAGACCACTAAAGAATGGGTGGATGAGATGGCCATCGTTGGTTGTCTCGCATGGCTGGGGAAGCACAGGAGGAATATGGTGGATTTCATTCTGGATGGGTTTCCGTTGGGCATGAATCTCGAGTTGTTCGAAGGTGAAAGCCACTGGGAGTACCTGAATTAGGTATGCATTTCATACAGCGTTCGAGACCAGTTATTGAAAAATACACAGTAGTACCTATTGCTTTGCAATTTTACTGTGTCGAATGTCGATGTTTCTTGTCATGTGGTGTACATGAGGGCAAGAATTGACCAGAGTTGTCACTGCAACGGCTTACGGAATTCCTAGGCGGTGCATAACACTGCCCTAGCCACGAGGCACACACGATGTCCTTCCGCACACGAATGTAAACTAGACCTGAAGCTTGGCGTGTTCAAGACTACTCCATCAGTATTTGTACTCTTCTTCCAGATGAGTAATTTCCTCTACTGTAAGCTTCACGTCGATTCCAGCTTCGGTTTAGCCTCAGTGGAAATTGACGGTCCAATTTGCAGCCTTGATAGCCTCAGGTTTCAAAGCGCCTTTTCCTTAAACAGGTGCCACTCATCGACAACACACGCCGCTCGGTTAGTCAGCTAAACCAAACGACCTGGAGCTCGCGGCTGCTGGGAAATACACGACCGCTTAGCTATTGAAAATCACTCACAATTTGAAACCATAGCCGGAATAGTGTATTCCACGAATACATTTTTACTAGCTACAAGCACATCGACGCCACATTCGGCTTTTTTCTTCTTCGTATGCGACTTGTGGGCCATGGCACAATTGTATACTTCCACATCCATCCTTCGTATGCGACTCCTGGGCCATCGAACAATCGTATACTTCCACATCCATCCCATCCTCATTGTTCACAGGTAATTTCTCGTGTGCCACAATATATTGTCTACTGTTCCTTGGCTCATACTCGAGCCATTCCTCCATTCTACAGTTCCAGACTTCGGTTTCTCATATATAACCTGCATGGGCTCCCTGATACCGACATCAAACCTTTCCCATCTGCCCAAATCAAACCTTCCTCATCTACCTTAATCAGATATGTCCTTTCGTCCTCACTACACACTTAGCTTTCCAAAGCTGCCTTTGGAAGATATCGAGGCTGTCTTCGCTAACTCCCTGTCCTGGATTGCAGGATATGACATCGAAAAACACGTAAGCACGTTGCGCGTTTTTACTGATCTTCAAACTGACCTTGGTGTCCAGGCATGGGTTAAATCCAAGGATTACAACGAATCTGCTTACGATCAAGATGCGTGGAGCAAGCTAGTCAAGGACCAACAGACTAAGGTACGGGCGGGAGTGACTTTGCGATCATTGTCTCGCAAGCTAATGCGTTTGTCGCAGGATCTCATCCAGTCTACATTGGATGCCATTGAATGTTCTCCTGGGAGTTCAAAAGTTCGGCAAGGCATGGTGTGTTTTGAAACGACATTCCTGCATCACTCTTGTTTACCTTTACCATTTTTAGAATATCCTGCTGAAAGGAGAACCAGGAACTGGCAAAAAGACGGTTGCTCATGCGGTTTGCAACAGACTCAAGCGTCCAATGCTCATCATTGGGGCCCATGATATCCCACCCCTTGCTGATGTGAAGCCTTGGGCCGCTAAACTAGCATCGGTATGTACTATTCATGGGCCGTGATACGTCTCTGACACGACATGGTGCTTGCTTAGCTTGCGATCAAGTGGAACTCGTTGTTGGTCGTAGATCATGAATATGTACGTATTCCCTTTCAAAGTGTTTGTCAGATCCTTTCTAAACACACGGCCCTACAGTATTTCGGGGATATTCAAGTATGCTGTTGATTATTGTACGTTAATGCTGTACTAGTATAGCTAATTCTTCGTCAGGAACACCTCAAAATGATGGTTCGCGAATTTCAATCGCACGAATGTATCTGTCTGTGGGCCTCCGTGATGTCGCCCGCTATACGTAGCCCGTTCGCAGCCAGTATGTACCACAGCTATCTGACCCGACCATATCACTAACGTTTCCCTGTTGCAGCTATTGAATTCCCCGATCTTGATCAGCCAGCCCGTCGCCAACGTTGGCTACTAGTTTTTGGCCGAGGTGACCTGGCGGAAACTATCTCTAGAGGCGAGCATGCATCGGCCCCTACCGTAAAGAGGGACCGGAAGGCGGAGGCCTTCCTTCGGGATATTGAGAAAATCTCTTCTCGGTACGAACTCGATGGTAATGTCATGTCTGACACTGAATGACCTGACGCAAGTGCTAATGTAGTGCTAATAGGAGTCCAGATTGAAAATTGCTTGGCTTCCGTACGAGCTATAACTGGGTAAGTTGGTTGGTATTATAAAAGCTTTTCCTGACAACTAATCAGTGTTACACAGGAGGCAAAATATAACCCCTCGGGACATGAAGAAGTATCTCAAGGTGGCAGTTATCATCTTACCACATGAAGGACACGGTAAACACATTCAATGTGCCTGTTTGAAATATGTGCTTGCTGGCTTATACTCCATATATAAGAAGTACTGAAGCGCCAGTGGAGCTCAAGTAGCACGCGCACATGGTAGTCACACGAATTTCGAAATCGCCACATCCTTACATTATGTAGAATAGTCACTTTGTTTTGTCTAACCGATTCTCAGCCCCAATGGAAACCCACTGTTCTGAGAATGACTGAAGTTGTGCCAGATCGTGCGTACACACTTGTACGGGCACCAACCACTGGTCCTTCTTTTTGTGATGCAATCATTCATACGATTGCTTGGGAAAATGAGCGCGCGAGAGCCAAGTCGAGTGGCAATGCACTCCTTCAGTTCCTTGATCAGCAAGCCGTCCTCGACTCGTCTTCTCGCGGCTCGCCTCATTCAACGTTCCATCCTAAATCACAGATGATCCACTCAAGATGATTACAAGGTGCGTGAAACACGTTCGTACATACATAGATTAATGACGTGAAGCATACTTAATGAATGCTGACGAAGCTTGCCTTTCACTTTTGTTCAACGAGGCGGACATACGGATACGAATCTGAATTTCTTTGAAATTGTTACTGAAGCACTACTGGGCGATACATGTCAGCATTGTGATATGAAGGCTACGATTCTTAGCTGACACCCAGCGCCTCTGTAGATTCTGTGGTATTTGAAGGAGTCCAGGGTGCTAACTTGTCTGGGAATCGCACACCAGAGATAAAACGGCTTGTTGACGTAGTTCCAAACGGTGATAGCGACTCACTCAAGAACGGATATGCAGGCACTGGCACTAGCGACAAGGCAGGAGTCGAGCATGTGCTGCTAGACGTCAGGTTGTGGACGTGATGGTGAGTTTGAGACAGGAAGAAGCGAATTTTTCAATGTAGCTGGCTTCCGGGACGCAGCAGAACTTGGAAAACGATCACGTGGATGTGGCCAAGATGTCTTCAAAATGATATCGACGTTGGAGAGAGCTTCCTTTTCTATCATATGACCATAGATTTGGCAAACCAGCGCATTGACCGTGACTGGCTGCCCCGAGCCAGTTTATGCATGGACTGCGTTATGCCCACTTCATTGCGAAAGTTCATGGACGGTTAGATGTTGTCTTAGTCTTTAGCATATTAAGCCAACCTACTTTCTCCCAAGCATGATACGTATCATTCCTAGTACCTAACGCCCAACTCTTCCATATAGAGCTGAAGCTGAAGTTTCGTCTCACCTCCTTCGCATATGACAATCTCTTGCCAGCCGAGTCGTCGTCAGAATCCTCATCAGTACGAAATTGACACAGCCTAAAGTCGATGAGCACCACTCATCTAGGGTGACTGCTAGATACAACAACGCTTTACGAGTTCCTGGTATGCTGAACTAGGGACTGAATGAGGGTCTTGGATGGTTGCGAGGTTCTCTCCTGGGCCCTGGGATGTATTCTATGAAAAGCACCCTGGGAGATATGGCGCGACCTTCACCGTGACCTAAAGCGACCCGACCTGAACCATAGAGCCAGGGAATGGTAGAACCTCGAAGGTGCCAAAGGCGTCTGTAGGCTTCGGCTTCACATGCAGAAGAAGACTCATACTTGTGATAGCAGATTCTTCGCACAACGAGCCTTTCTCTCTCCCATTGAGGGATACTAAAGTCATCACCCAGTGCAAATGCACGACGGTCGGCCGCAGCCTTTTCTTTGGCTGCGGACCAGGGGATGGGAGATCGTCTCGAGAATGTATTTTTGCGCTCGTAGTTAAACCGAGGATCAAATGTTTTAGCTATTAGTAGATTGGGGAGATCGGCTCCGACAGGGACATCCTTGATTTCGACAAGGACCTGGCATTGTGAAAGTAAATGCCTCCAAATGAGAGCAGCACACACGAATTCGAACAAGGATTTCTCATCGTTGAAAAGAGATACCTGCTGTTGGAGGCGACTTCCTTGTGTGTAAGGTTCTTAGGAGCTTCCAAATGTGAAATCGCGGAGTTCGAACTTCACTTACCTTACCAAAGGAACCCGCTGCTGCCCGCACCACTAAGCGGCAGCTAGCGTTGCCTCAGTTTTGCTCATAATTGGTTCACCCACTTGCTCGTCTTGCATAGCACTCTCGCTCGCTCATTTTTGCCCTCACTTCCACTCCCAGATTTATTATTACCATCCATCACATTGTAATACTCGCTTCATCATATTCACACATCAACATTCCTTCGCTATTAATACATTTAGATGGACTTGATGTCGAAATGTGTTATTGTGCTTTATCATTTTGCATTAAGTGTCCCAAAAATTCAAAGTACACATGGCTAATTTCAATCAAAATCTTGCCTGAGGCAAAACTCTCAAACCGCTGGAGTGTTAGGAGGGAGTCGACTGCAATCGATCTCGCATGATTTCAGGCCAGTACTATTAATGACGTTAGTATTAATTTCGTCAACTAATCTGTCACAACCTCAGCCATTCTGGGGAGAGTGGGGGTTCCCACTGGGGTTCAGCGCTCAGCGCTTGGTTCTTAGATTCGTTGAACTCTACAAAATGACACGGCAACGTCGCAGGAATACACCAAAACAACAAACCAGAGCAGAGCTTACAGGAGAAGCTCAGAAGACAGACAGCTCTCCGAGTCCGCGTGCACCTATGACACAATACCAACATTTCATTCCACGGTTCATATTGCGAAGATTCCAAGTCGGACCTGTGAAGTGCGTTTTCAGAGTCCTCTCGAGCACTCTGAGTGTAGACACCAGACCAGAACACTGAATAATATTCTTTGCAGATCCAAAACAGAACGACGAAAAGAATTTCGACGCACCGGCGTTGAGCCTGAATACGTCCACTACTATGACGTTGCTACAAGTAGTCTTGACGTTCGTCCTATTGGAAAGGTTTATGGCGTACAGAATATCTACCAGGACGTCCGCAGCACTGATGATATCAACGAACTAGAGAAGAAATTAGCGGTCCTCGAACGTCATGCAGCCTGCATTATCAAGGACTTGCATCAAGCGCTTTCTCAGGGTACTTTGACTCTGAAGCGGAGGCTGCTAGAGGACCTGCGGAAGTTCCTATTCATCATGCATTATCGCAATGCAGCGTGCTCCGACATATACTTTCAAGCGGATCACCCGCAGAACACAAGCAGCCGTCAGTGGATTGAATCCGTCATGAAGGCGAAGGGTCTTCATTCTGCTGCCGAGACATGGCTACACTTCCTCAGATACTACCTGGATACATCTCATTCAGACATCATGCGAGATGCTGCAGAACTTGTAGAGAAGTATGGTGAAGAAGGTCTTCAAAACATGATAACTGAATCACATATCCCACCTGATCTCGAACACTTCCCAGCTTACACTTACTACGTTCAGGCGAATGGCTACTTCTTCAGTATCTGGGAAGCCGCAGAGGGAGAAGAATTTATCATTACATCCCACGCATTTGGTCTGTGGGAAGGTTTGGGATATGGTTGCCCTGGCCTGCACCGCATATTCGTAGTCAGCCCTCGCATTGCTATCGTCCTGCGTCATGTGCTATCGCGTCCAGAGTTGAAAGAACACACGAAGCCTGGTGCGTTCGTGAGCTGCTTGCTCGACGTGAATCCAGCACCACCAACTCCAATTTACACCCGTGGAGAACACGGTACACATATCGACCACATAAATTTCCAATCTGCGATGGCACTTGCACGTTACAGATCCTCCCAGAAAGGGGAGGATGACAGTTTTGTGTTCAAGATCACAAAGCTGTCGCGACCCCAGACATTGAACTTCAATTCCGTTCTATTAGTGAATGTGACGGAGACAGGCTCTTTGACCTTCCTGTCAAAGGAGAGCATGCTCCGTGCCGCGCGTGCGTTCCTGAGTTGGCCGGTCTATGGGCTGCTCGTTCCGCTCATCGCCCGATTAACGGATCCCACGGAGTCAGAAGTGTCGGCTCCTCGCCCACCATCACAGTCGCCAGTGGTTGTCCCCGATCAGGACGTGGATGCACTTACACTCGTTGATGTAGGGCTCTATGTGCTTCTAATGCAGATATGCACGGGTATCAGGCAGTTCGAAACGGCATACGACAGGGCACATCTAGTCTTCAGAATCATGGAGAAAGCAAAACCCACGTCATTCGCAGACGAAATCAGCCGAGAAGTCAAGAAGGCTTTTAAGGTCTGCAAAGATTCGGAGGATGAAATGCCTGTTGGAGAGGGCATCAGTTTCGCTCCCTTGCTCTCTTCAATTTCCAATGAGTTGTCTTCTCAACTCTTCCGATTCATGGTACCTTGCATGAGCAGACTGGGCGCAGTGATGTCTGGAGGTGAAGGAATTATGGAAGAGCTCCAAGATGAAGTCACGGTAGTGTGCTTTCTTGCATGTGCGTCGAGCAGCCCAGCAGTGTGGCATGCACTCTCGTGTATCAGCCCACAGGCCCCTGAAATCTTGTCAAAACTGTTCAAGGAAGGCACTCCAGGAGATGCATTTACTGCTAGCTTCACGCGGTTTGTGTACCGCCAGCGGGCTTCGCCATCATCTTTCTCTTCCGGGTTCCACCTGGCATATTCGTTACGAGCAATGTGCGCAATGTCTGGGCCAACCACCAATACCGTCAGTCGGAGCTACTACCAGTTAACGGCCTCTATAATACAATGTCTCGGTCGCACAATGCTGGGACCCCTGCCGGAGCCATATGCTTCACAGCCGCGCGAGAGGCCCAAGGCTCGGCTTGTCTACAAAATCCCAGAAGAACATTCAGACTTACTTTTTTCGAATATGAAGATGATACTGCGGCATTCGCTCCCGGGGTATGTGCCGTCGCCAGGAGGGAACACTCCAGCACAGACCCTCATGAGGTGGATAGATGAGATGGCCATCGTCGGTGGTCTTGTGTGGTTGGGGAAGCACAGGAGGAATTGTTTAGACTTCACTCTGGATGGGTTTCCGCAGGGTATGAATTTCAAGCTGTTTGAAGATGAAGAAGCCACTGGGAGTACCTAGATCAACTTGTTCGAATTGATCTTCTATATAAAGTTTTCAAGATCACTTACTGAGACGCATCAGTTGTACATATATTTTTGTGAATAGAATGAGGATTCATTGGATTCTACTTGCATGCGAGAGATACGCGACTACTATTGACTAAGGCTGTCTGTTCAGAACGCAATACTTATGTGGCTGTGGCATGGAAGTGCTTCCCCAGCTGTGCTTTTCCAGTATTTGAACGGTTGCTCACCATTTAATACTTTACCGGACAATCCAAAGGATGGACATTATCCCTAGAGGGTCTGTCGCCATTTGCAAACGATAATACATAGATTATATGCGTCAGCCTGCGGTTACATTTCAATACCCATGGTAAGGCAGTAATGAAACAAACACCATATATATGTAAAGCTTTGAAGATCTCGCGTTAACCCCATATTCTAGGGATGCTCATGATTTTTCAGCAAACCATCTGCATCTGCATCAGGGACACCTCGGATTGAACGTTCACGAAGAAAGTGACGCAAACTCACACGAGCAAGCACCGCAAAGCTATTTCATTTGTTTCCTCCGATGGCGAGGTCCTGTCAATTTCTGTGCGAGCCTGGTTGATCACACGTTATAAGTCCTCTTCATACCCTTGCGTCTCTGCAGTCAACTTTCCTGCAATTCGCAAGATTGGTTATTGGCTCGCCCACCCAGAGGGCACTGACTCCGATCCTCGAGTTGGTCGGATGTACACTTCGTGCTGCCTGATATTCTCGTTCAGTTCCTTGTGGATTGTATCACTCACTGGGTTCGAATATTTAGTGTTGATTCGCCAAAGCAAGAATTTGGGAAGGATGAAACAAGCCTTGTGGCGAGGAGTTGGATAGATGGATGGATTGTCTGAGAGACCTGAGGTCTTCACGTTCGTTGAGGGATTCAATGTGTCTGGGAGAGAGGAAGACGGAAGAAACATACGGCTATCAGCTCTCCCGAACGATGGAGTAGGATTGACGGTCTATTAGTTGAGGATGCGAATGGATTTGGCTTCGAGCTAAGCTGTTCGGCTGTGAGCCTGCATTTAGTATGTATCTTGAGAAGGCCAGACTGCTCACTGCGGCAGGCTCCTTTTTGAGCTTAATTCAACCTGCGTGAACTTCTAAGAGCTAGTTCGGTAACCCAAGGTAAAGTAAATTTGCCAACTTCAAGGATGATGTAAGGCCGGCACAGTAGCTTCCGGTTTGGAGACCGACATCGGAGCTTGAACTTCCTTTGATCCATGTCTAGCTATCACACACCCCAGCATACGACTCAAGATCTATGCAATCGGAACAACATCTGGGCTAGTGTCATATCGATAGTGTTATCAGCTCAAGTCCACATCCTCTCCATGGCTCAGGAGTCATCTCATACTACTACAGAGAGGGCTGTTTGGACCGACACAGAGGTTGATCAGTTTCTCCTCTACCTATCCAACAATCGGGACAAGATCGGTGATGCTGGCAACTTCAAAGATGCGACGTACAATGGCGCTGCAGAGGCTATTGCTGAGTACCTGGAGCATGGTCCAGCAAAGAGTGGGGCAATGTGTAAGACAAAATGGGCGTCAGTAAGTCATATCAATATATCATTTTATAGACTTGATAAGAGATCGTGTAGTTAAAGCAGACTTTCAACGCTATTCAGAAGTACCGCCAGCAGTCTGGTGTCCACTGGGACAATATTAGAGGGGCAAATGTCGAGGGCGAGGCTTCAACCTCAGTATGGAATGAATATGTTTCCAAGAAGGTACGTCAAGTTCGCTAATGCTATTTCATGCGTCTCACTGTTTGATAATAGGGAAATTCAGTCATGCGCCCTTTTCGTGCATCAGGATGGAGACACTACGAGCAAATGGACGGCATAATACCACGAGGCAGTGGCGCCCGAGGGCGCACAGGGTACCAACCCAATATAGCTCTCCCCCCTCCCTTAAGCTCAAGCTCCAGTCCTAGCGTACCCGCAGGTGAACACAATACCATGATTGGTCCCGTTATTGCCACGTCTAGTGCTGGTGTTGCTGGTCCTAGCACCGCCCCTGCAGCAGCTGCCCTCACTTCTACACCTGCTTCTCCATCCTTCATGCCTCCTCCTACTTCTCCGTCCTTCATGCCTCCTCCTGCTTCTCCATCCTTCATGCCTCCTCCTGCTTCTCCGTCCTTCATGCCTCCTCCTGGCAAACGTTCTCACACTGACATGGAGCTGACCGCCTCATCTGCATCTACCTCAGTTTCTCAAATGCAAATGCCGCCTCCCTCCGAGTCGAGCTCTATCAAAAGAGCGAAGACAGTATCAGGCCGCGCATCAGGCCGCGCATCAGGCCGTGGATCAGGAGGCCATGCACAGACTCCGTTGGACACCAAGATATCGAAGGCCACCACAGCTGTAGCCGTGATGGGATTCCAGAGCTCTGTCAATCGCTTGACAGATGTAATTGCTGAGCGCATGGTCTATCCTGAGGATCGGGTAATGGACCAGCGCTCGAGGGCCATGCAGATGTTGCAGGTTGAGGATGCAGAGCTGCCGTTCGCAGAGCGGCTTATAATACAACAGGTTTTTTCTATGGACCCTGCAGCTACTGACATATACACACAGACCGCTGACAAGGAGATGCGCCGTGCTTTTATTCTTTCCACAGCCCAGCGGTTGGGACTTCAACTTCCTGCGCCTGGTAGTTAGTATACTCATGTAAAATGCGCTATTGACACAACATATGATGATAATGCAGTAGTTGAAGCATGGTAATGCAAACATCTTGTGCTTTGATGGCGGCGGATACATGAGAGTCGTGCTACAGTGCTACGTATCATTGTCAGAATCTTCAAAGGAGTCATCTAGCAGGCCCCGCTGCTGCAAAACGGTCTGATAATCTTCCCACATGGAGCGCGCAATACGATTGCGCACTTCCTTCATGCCTCCCGCTCCGTCAAACACCTCCTCATCATCGGGGATCCCTTGGTGCTCCGGGTTGTCGTAATCGAAGTGTTCGTCGTCGTCGTCCGGGAGCACGTTGTCGTCAGGGTTGTGAGTTGATATGAAATTGTGAATCGCGCATAGCGCGGCAGGTATACGTGCCTGGATGGTCATAGGATATTCAGGTGAGAGCAAAAGAATACGAAAACGGCGTTTTAACACGCCAAAGATCCGCTCAATCACATTTCGAGCGGATGAGTGTCGCAGATTGAAGAGCTCTTCTTTGGTTGTTGGTCTGCAAACATAGAATAGTTATTAAAAAACCTAAAATATAAAATAAATAAAACATACCTAAGATTAGCGCGTCCCCATTCAGCCAAATGATAACGGACACTGCGGTAGGGGACTAAGAGCTCGTCACACAAAGGGAATCCCGCATCCGCTAAGAAATATTTGCCGGGAGGGACATACAAACTGCCTGAACGAGCCTCGTCATAGAGGCGTGCGTCTGTGGCGGATCCCTCCCAGCCAGTGAGAGCGTATGAGAACTTGAGGTTGAAGGTGCAGGCGAATAGACAGTTTTGAGAAACAAAACCTTTGCGATTACGATATGAGGGGCGGTCAGATGATGAGGGGCGAGCATGGATGTGGCTGCCGTCGATCGCACCAATAGCGTCCTTGAAGTAAGGCCAGAATTTTGGGTTGTTACGGATGTTGCTGGAGACGTCATCGGTGTCATTGGGAGAACGTACGTAGGTTGTGTAGAACGGGGGGGACGCAAAGATAAACAAGATCTTCCGGAAATACCTGGAATTATTTGTGAGCTCATCATAAATAACATTAAAAACAAACTTACTTTGAGATGGTGTCGTTTGACCGTTGAAAACGCTCCCCGACATGACGGATTGTTAGCCCTGTAACGCACGTATATAAAAAGATGGCAAGTTGCTCTTCGAGCGAAACGTGGCGTGAGCTAGCATAACCCAAAACACGAAGTTCGGCTATGAGTGCGTGAAAGACATCTGCATGCATGCCAAGTTCGCATCGCATACGATCCGGGTGACCAACGATGAGTTCCATGACCCATTCTTCACCTGAGAGGGCCGATGTGTGGTATGCCTCAGGTACAGAGTCCTGAAGCAATGAGTGCGTAGCAGTCAGAAGGACACTGACGAGTAGTGCAATGTGACGTAGGATTCGCATATGATTCTGCCGACGGCCTGCAGCTGGCGGCTGAACAGCCTGGGCTTGAGCGAGTTGTTGGAGCAAGGGGTCAATGGTATCCATAATCTATCGATATCTATCCCTAAAGCAATGAGCGCAATGGATAACAAGTCCTACTAATATTGATATCATAAGGTTGAAACTCAGCTATCGGCACCTACTGTGCCGGCCTTACATCATCCTTGAAGTTGGCAAATTTACTTTACCTTGGGTTACCGAACTAGCTCTAAGGTGCATCTGCAAAACCACTGAAATGAACGCTTAACTTACGCGCGTTACGGACACTTACGAATGCTTACGACTTCACTAGCGAACTCATGCGATTGGTGGAATTTTATCATTGTCTTATCGATCCAAAAAGCATCTAATCAAGACCAAGATCATTGCGCCTGCAGTACTGTGTTTACAAATGATGCTACTACTGGAAAGAACAGTGACACAAGATCAATGCTAAAGAGTATACTCAGTGTCCAATGATTCATGCAACACGTTATACATCTCCTTATCTGCATAACGGTTGAGATAAAAGTGGTCATAGTGCTCTTGAGACGTCGTTAAAGTCAAGGAACGGTCAACCTTTTCTCCGTACACCGGGACCAACTCCGCAGGGTGTGTTACCTCTGTTATGGGAATGACAAACCCGGTGCGGGTTTTGGGCTGCGTTTCAGGTGCATAGACCCTCTCGAGCTTCCACAATCGAGTGTCCTCTAGATCCTCAGGGGTTGTTACGATACGAAAAGGTTGGACATAGAGGAGGGGGTGCAACAAGAAGTCAGGAAGTTTTGCAGTTGAGCGCCGGGGTGGAGCCAGCTGGAATACAATGCGAACTTGAGCAACTGAAACTAGATAATAGATGTTGTCAGTACATGGACGATAGGTAGCATAAACCAACTTACAACCAGGGTTATTTGCGCCTTGATCCATGTCTAAGAAAATCGCATCACAATTTCCAGATGGAAATGCATCACTTGGCGGTTCGGCAGGCCATACTGTAAGAATGATACATTAAATACCTACAATTGTAGATGAAATGGGATACAATAATTACTGAAGTCCATAGATACCTATCATTGTAGGGCTGATATATCAATGGAGGATCCTGTCAGGACACTCCCATAATAATCTCACACCCCTAATTTTCGCATTTTTGACCACCTACTGTGGGAATTTCCCCACAACACTTAAAAATAGATTGCTTCTCCACATTTTCGCATTTTTAGCCACCCCACTACACCTAAAACATCACCCATTTTGGGAATCTCCACAATATCAATTATTCCCACACCCTCCCCACCTCACTGCAGCTTCACCACCACACCACAATAGGTCCCCTCTTGTATCTAAGTAGTAGTTTGGTATATATATGTACAATATAATGTAATAGACCGCTTTTTTTGCTTATTTGTGTGCCTGCTCCTCCTCTAGAGGCCATTTAACATATGTTAGAGTAAAGAACACTTTCGCACTTTTGCCCCTTTGGTGGGAAAGTGTTCTATTATATTCAAAACATGTTTATGAGCATATATGAGTATATTCCCATCTTTATTTGACCCCCTGAAGCGTCCTACATCAATAGATATAGCACATATGCAAGAAAACACAGAATATGTTCCTATTTAATTATTTCTAGGTGGACAGACTTGGAAAAATTATTCCCAGTATCTATTCAACAATATGAACAATGTATCAGGAGCCCAGGACCATGGGATAATTCCCTGTTGCATGGTGTGCCCCCCCTCTCCTGGTGGTTTACCCCCTGTGAAATTTTTTCCTGCAGGACCGGACCTTAATTGAGGTGAGGGGTCTATTTCTATGTATATTTGGAGTAGATCTATCATATAGCTGGCCAAGAACACACATAGGATCCTGCTACAAGAACAAAAACATAGAAAATCTCACTTTTGACACTTTTGATGTTTTTTAGTATCTTACTCTTGCATAAATAACCATCCCTGCTCACATATTATCAGTAGTACATTCACACATATGTTCTATGCCAAGGATCAGCTCAAAATAGGCTGGAGGTTTGAGCTAGTGTAGATACTTGCTATTTCTACTGATAAGGAGCCCATACTTTCAAAACATCGAAATTTAATAATCAGACACTTGGAGTAGATTTAAAGTACATTCACTATCATATACCTAAATTTACAAAACAATCCAACAAGAATTGAGTGCTGAGGAAGTGAAATAGATAAGAAATTGAGTGTGGGAAAGTTCAAAGACTCAAAACATCGAAAATGGTCAGTTGGGCAGCAGTAGGACTTTAATGCAGGGTCAACTCAAATATACACCACATTCCTTCCATCACCCTTTAACCTCAGGGCAGTATGTAGCATAGGTTCATTTAGTAGTCTATCATATATCCTACATATTTTCAATGAAATCTTTGCCCTGTACCATATATAAATGTGACTTTGTGTCAAAAGATGTCAATTGTCACTTTTCACACATATGTCATTTTACTTGTCATTCAGTCAGTCCTTCACTGATCTTTCTAAAACTTCAAGTCCATCATTAGGGACATATATAAGAGGTATCCCAGGTATCTGATCACTTATCACAGGCTGGATTACTCTGTAGGTTTCCTATCAGTAGAAATACCCCCTGTACATCAGATATCAAATTTGCGCCCTATGTAGGGCTGATCCTTGGCATAGAACATATGTGTGAATGTACTACTGATAATATGTGAGCAGGGATGGTTATTTATGCAAGAGTAAGATACTAAAAAACATCAAAAGTGTCAAAAGTGAGATTTTCTATGTTTTTGTTCTTGTAGCAGGATCCTATGTGTGTTCTTGGCCAGCTATATGATAGATCTACTCCAAATATACATAGAAATAGACCCCTCACCTCAATTAAGGTCCGGTCCTGCAGGAAAAAATTTCACAGGGGGTAAACCACCAGGAGAGGGGGGGCACACCATGCAACAGGGAATTATCCCATGGTCCTGGGCTCCTGATACATTGTTCATATTGTTGAATAGATACTGGGAATAATTTTTCCAAGTCTGTCCACCTAGAAATAATTAAATAGGAACATATTCTGTGTTTTCTTGCATATGTGCTATATCTATTGATGTAGGACGCTTCAGGGGGTCAAATAAAGATGGGAATATACTCATATATGCTCATAAACATGTTTTGAATATAATAGAACACTTTCCCACCAAAGGGGCAAAAGTGCGAAAGTGTTCTTTACTCTAACATATGTTAAATGGCCTCTAGAGGAGGAGCAGGCACACAAATAAGCAAAAAAAGCGGTCTATTACATTATATTGTACATATATATACCAAACTACTACTTAGATACAAGAGGGGACCTATTGTGGTGTGGTGGTGAAGCTGCAGTGAGGTGGGGAGGGTGTGGGAATAATTGATATTGTGGAGATTCCCAAAATGGATGATGTTTTAGGTGTAGTGGGGTGGCTAAAAATGCGAAAATGTGGAGAAGCAATCTATTTTTAAGTGTTGTGGGGAAATTCCCACAGTAGGTGGTCAAAAATGCGAAAATTAGGGGTGTGAGATTATTATGGGAGTGTCCTGACAGGATCCTCCATTGATATATCAGCCCTACAATGATAGGTATCTATGGACTTCAGTAATTATTGTATCCCATTTCATCTACAATTGTAAGAAGTGATACATCAAACCTACAGGTACAGGTGGGTTCGGCTTGGACAGCTTGGCTGGGCATGATGATTGATGGGTGAAATGTCGAATGTAGTTGGATACGAAACTTGGACCAAACCTTGATGGCACTAAACATCTGGAAGCACTCTTCAACATCATCTGTGTATCGCTGAATGTATTCTGTGACCTTGTGACGAAGGTCAGGGATATTGGGGCAATCGTACGTCCTCATTCAGACATTCCTTATCTTGGCATGTCGGGCAATCCTACGTCTTCTTTCAGACTTTCTTCATCTTGGCACCATACGTTACACGCGCTATGTTCTCGTTATCTTCTTGCACCATGCACTACGTACTGTACAGTTTCACCTTCGACACTCAGCCACAGATCCTCCATACTCGTATATCAGTAGCGTCGTTTTTGCAGAACACCTCAGCGTTGTCCTTGATCACACGCTGAGGTGAGTACTCTTAATATTCGTATCGTTCGTACATCTTGTTAACATGTACCTAGACTCGTCTTGTTCTAGGTATTAATAATATTCAGCGTTGTCCTTGATCACACGCTGAGACTTGTCTCGTTCTAGTTCCCACCAGGTTATGAGCCCTGAGCCATACACTCAGAATACACGGAAAGAACTCGAATATATTCGAACTCATCAAAAAGCTCACTAGGATTAATCATACACGCTCACTGCTATTATCCTCGAACTCGTACATCTGGCTGCTATGGGAAAGCTCGATCACATCATCGAGTTGACAGGCGCCGACACGTATTCGAGTTGGCGTAGGTCAGTAAGACTCGCACTCGCTGGTGAGGGATTGTGGAACCACTGTAGCATGGGCACAAATCCAAACGACTATGCCGAGTATGCGAGCACTCTTCCTGTCGCCGTTACTCCAAGTCAGCCTACAGCTGATGAAAGGAAGAGTATCAAAGAGTGGATAAAGGAAGACGCACAGGCTAAGGCCATTATTGGCCGCAAGCTTTCTCCAGTCGTTCAAAATATGCTCGACGAATCTCTTTCAGCACGCGAACAATGGGAGTTACTGGCACAACGATTCTCGCGTCTTGATGTCACTTCACAGTTCGAACTTCGCTCGCAATTGTTCGCTGAGAAGCTGAAGGATGCAGAGGATGCCCCTCGTTACCTCGGCGTGTTAGAGAATGGCCGAAGGCGTTTTGCAGAAATGGGAGTCGTGTTTACAGATGAGGAAGCCGTATTCATGCTGCTCAACGGATTACCCGACTCGCCGCAATGGATCGTGTTTCGAGGACTCACCATTGGAATGTTCTCAACCACAACGGTCAGCGCATCCTCCTCAACGACTACTACAACGTCTCCTCCTGTCCCACCGAAAATCACCTTCCAAACCATAGCCACCTCCTTTTCGGAGGAAGCCAATTGTCAGCAAAGTCAGCTGAAAATGGCCAAACCGGGATCAGAGTATGCAAACGCTATTAGCGGATCGCATTCCGGGATCGACACAAAAACCAATCCTGCAAATGGCATTAGAGTGCATAAGTACAACCCCAAGGGGGTGCCATGCGACAACCCCGTCTGCGTCGGCTTACCTCACTCTTTAACACATGACCGAGAGCACTGTCTTCAGCCCGGTGGAGGTGCTGAAGGAGCCAAGAGCTCGTGGGGGAAGAAAGGCAGTAAAGCTAAGAAGGAGGTCGCAGCATCAGCAACTGATTCAAAATCAGGCTCACAGCAACCTACCTCTTCCACCGAGACGAACACTCCCTCACAGCCACCACGAGAACTTGCCTGCGCGACCATCGAAGAAATCAGTTCAGACACACCAACTATGAGTGCGGAAGACATAGTGTGCATCGCAGGACAAGCTCTCTCCACTATTCTCGACTCTGGGGCCACCTCTACTCTCATCACGAACCGCGACGTGTTCTGGACGTACTCTGAAGAAGCAAGGGTCACCGTCAAGACAGCCAATCATGGCACACTTGCATAGTGCTGCCGTGGTCCGGTCCTGAACCATGGTTCGAACTGGACTTTTGGTCCGGTTCTCCTGTGGTTCGGTCCACGGTCCAGGTGTCAGCCAGAACCGGACCATAGTACGGTTCTCGGTTCTGCCATTGGGCGGACGGTTCGACTTTGGTTCGGACCGGCCCCGAACCGTTCCGAACCGCGAACCGAAAGAAGCTTGCCACATTGTTGAAGCACGCCTTGACACCTTCCTTTGATGATCCACTTTGGCCTCAGGGATTCTTAAGCTTCAAGATTTACTTGTTTCCATCAAATGCAGAGGCCCATTGACAAGGTAAGTCATGATATGCACTGTTCAAACTGATGAATCAGACCACACGTCTCGTTGTGCAACTCCTCCCGCAAGCCCATCGTCCCACTCCTGCGAAACCACCGCCTCCACCCCTAAAATCAACGCGCCGACAAAGACCAAGTTTGCTTGTGCTCGCTATCTTGCGCCCGTTTTCTCATGCTTACTCTCTCGTACCTGTCCTCTTGTGCCCATTCTCTCGTGCTAACTCTCTCCCACCTGTTCTCATGCCACGCCCCATCTTTCATGCCCTCCTACTTCTTGATGTCGCTTGGTATTGAGACCATCGACTGCGGCACAACAACAAGTGCCTGCCATGTTACCTGCGTCTTTGCACACTCCCAGCCACCACCATTCACCACTTCCACGATGGCGCAAACGCTTGCGGGTGGCGCTTTGGACCGTATTTTCTTGCAACAGTTCTGGACCCTAACTTCAAACGTCAAAACCCGTTGGACTGAGATGAAGGTTACGAGCGGGAAAGCTCGTTTTGAAGCTGTGATAAGTCATATTTGACCAACTTCCTAACTTTGCACCCTGCCATTGAGCACATCATCTACTCCGGTCTCGCCTTGTACTCACTACACGTTCACACACACACAGAGCAGTTTATCAGCACCTACTGTCTCCCTCATTACTCGTATTCTGTGTTAATGCCTTGTGCTTGTTACACTCGAAATGATATCTTGCAAATTGACCGCTGCTTATCCTGACAGATCATTCATATTTAACGCGCACACGACTCGACTCAAAGATATTACCATAGGGTCTCTACCCACCTTCGTAGATGCAGGAGAAAACTCTCGAACTTCTACCTGTGCTCCCTACTGAATTTTTGGGTCCGGTTCGGGTTCGGACCCCAAAAAAACCGAACTGGACCATAGAGAACCGTTCTCTGTGGTCCGGTTCTGGGTTCGGACATTTCATAGAACCGAACCAATGGTCCGGTTCTTGGTTCTCCTCTATGACCCTCTGAACCGGACCGAACCGGACCACGGCAGCACTACACTTGCAACATCCGGACGAGGTGATTGCATAGCGGAACTTACCATTAACGGGAGAATTAGCCGCGTTCGTCTCACGCACTGCCTCCACGCACCGGGTGCACTCATCAACCTACTCTCCGTTGGCTACATGCTGAAAAAGGGTTGGGAATGCAATTTTAAACCCTATCCTGCACGTTGTGAACTAGTCTACCATAACGAAGCACTTGGCACCCTGCACATGCTCGGGAACTTGTTCTTCGTCGATCTCAAATTCCTCACTCCAGATACACTGTCCATTCGCACCAAGTATCCTGAAGAGATTTCGGCCTTCGCTCACGTTCCTCTGACTTGGGACCTATGGCACGCACGAATGGGACATCCAGGAGGAGAAGCAGTCAAACGCCTTCCTGTCTTTGCAACGGGTATCAAGGTAGATGCTTCCACGACTTTACAACGTTGTGAGCCTTGCATTATGGCTAAACACCCTCGCAAACCCTACCCGTCCTCTGAGACTCCACGTGCCGCTCGCATGCTCGACCTCATACACTCCGATTTATGCGGGCCATTTCCCATTGCGACTCCACACGGCAAACATCATTTTATTATTTTCCTCGACGATCACACCAACTTGCTCAACCTACAGCTACTAGCTACCAAGGACCAGGCTTTGGAAGCATGGTCCCTCGTCAGGAAAAGATGGGAGAATCACGCCGAACGCACAGTCAAAGTCTTTCGCTCGGACAATGGGGGTGAATTTATTAGCGCAGCTTTCACTGAGTCACTCGTTGAAGCAGGTATAGAGCGACAGCTCTCTGCTCCCTACGCTCACCAACAGAATGGCAAGGCTGAGCGAGCGATACGCACCATCGAGGGGCGCTTATTCGCAATGCTGGAAACAGCCCGCCTGCCAACAACATTGTGGGGGGAAGCTGCATTAACGGTTTGTTACCTCTGGAACCGGAGTGAATCAAGTGTCTTGCCTCCAGGCAAAACCCCATACGAACTCGTCAACGGTCGGAAACCTGATCTTTCGCACCTCCGTATTTTTGGTTCTCGCTGCTTTGCGCGGGTTCCCGCTGAGCTGCAGGCCAAGTTGGGGCCTCATTCATGACGAGCCATCTTCCTAGGCTATCCCGACGGCGTCAAAGGCTATCGCCTTCGTGACAAAGACACTGGGAGTTTCTTCACCGCTCGTGATGTCATATTTGATGAAAACTTCCCATCCGTCACAACTACCTACGACTCTGACTCCGACGATGATGATGTCAACTCCACTGTTCCAACGTCGCCTAATCCCACTATGTCCATCGCCCCCAAACCGTCTCTTCCAGCTCCACAGCGTTCATCTCGCACTCGCACAGTCACCAAGGCCGGCCAAGCTTATGCCGAAGAAATGGCTTCTTCCAAGGCCAGACTGGAGAATCTACGAGAATCAAGGCTAGCTTGCGCCGATAAAAGCATCACACTCCCTACTGCTGACAACTCAGTTTCTGGGTCCATCCTTCCTGCCCCTGCTGATGCCCATCCAGACATTGCCGACATCGAACCTAACGTAGACACACCGGACGTCGTCGTCAACGTCATCATCGAAGAGCAAGCTAACATCAGCATTCGCAGCGATAGACGTCGCAATCCCTCCAGCCCGGACTACGACATGAAGGTACCGCCCGCTACGTTTGAAGAGGCTATGCAGCGTCCGGACAGGAACGAGTGGCTGTCAGCTATGCAAGCAGAACTCGGAATCATGAAGGAGATGAGTGTCTACCGTGTCGTGCCGCTCCCAGAGGGACGCAAAGCAATAGGAAATAGATGGGTGCTGGAATTTAAAGAGGACAACAAGGGAGGTTCAGCGTATAAAGCGCTGAAGGTACAACAATTCAGAGAGTGAGTCTGAACAATGTTGGGTCTTGCAGAACCTAGCTGCTATTCGACCCTAAAGGGTTTCTGGACCAGGCTCAAGGCTCAGAGGAGAGGAAATATCATGAAAAACTGCTTAGTACTCTGACTCCTACTGGTAACTGGTGAAAAGATTACTTCCTTATGTAAGCTACAAAAGTGCCAACATAAGGTAAGGTAAAAACAGTCTCTACAAGCCCAGCCAGAAATGAATCCCTACAGCGCGCCTTGTTGCGCAAGGCTTCTCACAGATTCCAGGCGTCAATTTCGGTGCGACATTTGCCCCGGTTCTCAAGACGTCATCCATCCGCCTCATCTCTGCCCTGGCTTGCAAGAACAATTGGGAACTGGATAATTTCGATGCTAAGCGCGCGTTCCTCTGGGGTACCCTCAAAGAAGAGATCTACATGCGTCAACCAAAAGGTTTCGAGGACGGCGATTGGAAGGTCTTGGTCTGGCGCATGCTACGGACTATCTATGGCCTCAAACAATCGGCGATGGAGTGGTATGAGGAAGTGTGTGCTATCATGAGGGAGTTGGGATTCACTCGGTGCGCTGTCGACTACGCAGTATTTGTTTACGACGACGTCCTCAAGGAGGGCACTCGCGTCATCTGCATCATCGGCTTTCACGTCGACGATGGCCTCGGCACTTCCAATTCACGCCGCTTCCTTCACTGGGTTAAGAGCCGAATCCATGAACGCTTTGGCATCAAGGACCTAGGTTCGGTGCAGAAATTCCTTGGCATCCAGTTTGAACGGGACCGCGAGGCACGCCGGCTCTGGCTTCATCAAGGAGAGTACATCAGCTACCTGCTCGATGAGTATGGCATGCTTGATTGTAACCCCGTCCTCCTCCCTTTGGACGCAAATCACCCTTTCGGTCGCCCGTCTGATGCATACGACGTCGTTCCAAACCTTCCCTCTCGTTACCGTAAGCTGGTTGGAGAGTTGTTGTACCTCTCCATCTGCACGCGTCCTGACATCTCCTTTGCTATCAATTCCCTCGCGCAGCACAACGTGAACCCGTCTCCCTGCCATTATGCAGCTGCTAAACGCCTACTTCGATATATGAGCGGCACCATCAATGTGCGTATGCACTATGGGGGTGACCGTGTCGACGAAGGCCTCCACGCTTATTGCGATGCCGACTGGGCCAGCAACCCCGAGGATCGTCTTTCAATCTCGGGGTATGCTTGGTTCTACGCCGGGGGGTTGATTGCACATGCATCGAAGAAGCAGTCCACTCATGCGCTGTCGTCTACGGAGGCTGAGTACATGGCCGTGACTCACGTTTTTCAGGAGGGACTCTGGCTGCGCTCCTTGTTCAATGAGCTCCACATCACATACCTCACTCCCATTGTCATCTACATGGATAACACCGGCGCTATCTCATTGTCCGTCGAGGCCAAGAATCATATCCGTTCCAAACACATCGACATCCGTTATAACTTCATCCGTGAGTACGTCGAGAAGGGCATCTTCCTCCTCAAATGGTTGCCTTCTCATCGCAACACCGCGGACATCCTTACGAAGGCTCTCGTGCGTCCACTATTCTTGAAACATGTCTCCAACCTCTCGCTAGTGTCTCGGTGAGGGGGTGTATTGGGGCAATCGTACGTCCTCATTCAGACATTCCTTATCTTGGCATGTCGGGCAATCCTACGTCTTCTTTCAGACTTTCTTCATCTTGGCACCATACGTTACATGCGCTATGTTCTCGTTATCTTCTTGCACCATGCACTACGTACTGTACAGTTTCACCTTCGACACTCAGCCACAGATCCTCCATACTCGTATATCAGTAGCGTCATTTTTGCAGAACACCTCAGCGTTGTCCTTGATCACACGCTGAGGTGAGTACTCTCAATATTCGTATCGTTCGTACATCTTGTTAACATGTACCTAGACTCGTCTCATTCTAGGTATTAATAATATTCAGCATTGTCCTTGATCACACGCTGAGACTCGTCTCGTTCTAGTTCCCACCAAGGGAGTCCATAGGTGTGCATCACATCAGGCCAGCTGAGATTTGAGCCATCAGGAGAGCGAGTGACGGTAAGCGCTGCGTTGGCACTATTGGAGAGGATGCCCTTGGTAAAATGATTGCGTATGGGCCTGGGGGCACTGAAATGATGTTGTTCGTCGGGGGCGACACGAGAAACCCATGCCATTGTCGGGTCCGTGGCGCATACTTCTTCATCTTCATCGACAACGGCATTAATGAGAGCTTGGTTGTGTTGGCGAAGGAGGAGATATAGATCGAACTGCCGCATCCGCTCTTCACGATCAAGGATGCGGACGATCTGCTCCCCGAAATCTTTCTGTTTGCTCGTTCTCGTGAACGGGCTTTTGCAATGTGTGATTAGAAGCCGTTCACTAACATCCGCAGTGAACTGAACAAGTCCACCGTTGTTCCTAATGGCCTCCGCGAAGCTCAGAAGGAGTTCGAGTTTTGGTATGTAGAAATCCTCCTTGACGTTGCTTTTCCCCCGACGTGCTTCAGCTTCCAGGATCGCCACCTTGCAATTGTGGAATTCGTTAAGTGACGCTTGCATTGCTTCGATGCTTGATTCCGTATGGATGGGGTTCTGTGCTTGATACATGAAGTCGATGAGAGCACGAATAGGTCGCACGAATTCAGGAGGAGCAGCGCCCGAAATCATGGCGACGATGGTGCGCTGGATATCACGATGCTCTCGTCCAGTCATCTGTGCCACATGTGAGATCCCAGAAGAGAAGTGATGCACGCCGATACGTTTGTGGTGGCTCTTGTAGCGTGCGTCGAGCTCGTCATTTCCAACCACTTCTTTACACCATTGCAACAGATGGTCGAAGAAAAATTTGTGCAGGGTGTGAAGGATTTCAGGGACAAGGAAAATAGAAACCTGGGTAAGTGGCCAGTCGCGCCAGAACGGAAGATGAACGCCTAGAAGGAGAAGCTCCTTTGACTTCTTCTGGAACCGGTCAAGATTCCATGGGTCAATTGACTGGCTGAGAATGTACAATAGCTCCAGAGTATGCTCTGCTGTGCGAGGATCGTGATGGTTGGCATCCCCGAATTGCTTGTGAGTGGCCAGTGTGATGGGGGAAGCATTCTTTGACACAGAGGCGATCATCAACTGTTCTGGAAGGTCTGCAATCCAAGCGACAAGAGGGGTAAAGCAATATCGAAGTTCACCGAAGGGGTCAGGCATAAACTCGCCGACCTTTGCTGTGACTTTTAAGCCGGCAAAGACTAAGTCGACACACTTGTGCCAGACACGCGACTTCAGAATCATATGATAATCGGGATGTGTTTCAAACTTTGGGATTGGCATATACGCCACACATCGCCAAGCGTGGGATGTAGCCTTCATACGAACGTCAGAGTCGATGTTGCCGATAGTGAGGAAAAGAGGGTGCATTTCCAGACCGCCCGTCTGTCTTGTGACTGGTGTTTTGTCTGATGCAGCTATTATGGGCACGATAGTCGCCCCTTCAGGCAGCTGATCCTGGAATAGTCGATAGTTAAGAATGTGACGATACAGAAAAAAAGCACATACTTGTGTCGAGAATGCTCGATTTGCTGTGAACCACTCTCCATATTCTCGCTGCGCACCCTCCCAGACATGCAGAGGGTCAAAAGACATATTTTGAGCAAAAATAGGGTTTCCAAAGAGGCTCTTCACGACTTCAAGGCCATCACGCCATATTAGATGAATGGGAGCGGCAGTGGTGTACCCCTGGACTTCAAACTGTGTGGTCTGCCATTTCGGCCCGGGAGGTAAAAGGTCCATCCAGGACAATAGTTCTCGAGCACTCGAGAATGCGGGCTTATCTTTCACATCGAACTGATAATGTAGAGTTAGCAAGTAGTATACGGACAGATCATGTAAAATACCCAAGACAGTTTGAGAAAACGATCAATCTCTGTCTGTGTCATGGTCTCAACTAAAAATTTACCGAGTGACCACTCTCCACGATCGCGAAAGGGCCAGTACATATTTTTCACCCGTTTTGGCTCATGTTCATCGTTCTGAATTTGCTGAAATATGTTCTGTCCTTCTCCGTAGACATAGCCCAATAATGGATGGTATTGAGCGGTCCGATTAAATTCATCATCCATGGTCTCATCGACTCCAGACTGCCCATCGTGATGTCTGCGGGTTCCACGTAATGCAGGAGGCTTGGCCATGTGTCCTTCAGATCCTGACGGCCAGCATGTCTCAGTTGGGTGGTTTAGGTGAGAAAGCAAGTCATGAATGGATGGAAAATGTTGTCGGCAGTCTGAGTTAGGGCAGGTCACGGCAGGATCTCTTGCATTATCAGAAATGATCTGCTGAGGCCAAGGAATATCGTCCGCTGGAACATCGTTCATTGTGGTACAAGCGTTCCAGATCCGCGTTGATTGCATTGAATTCCTCCAAGTCTTTTAAACTCCGATACTTTCCGCTTTTGACTGCTGACAGTCGGTACGCATATCATGATATCTACTCACCGACGCCATACATCTCCCCCCCAGAGTTCATCTCCCCCCCAGAGTTCATCTCCCCCCCAGAGCTCATCTCCTCCATCAAGCAACAGACCACTTACCCCGCCCAACGATTTAAACGATTGTTTTGTGAGCCCTCGCATCATTCAGGATTATACTCCATCTCTTCCAGCCCATGGCGTTGTCCGCCGCCTCTCTCAGTATACAACCCGTGCAAAATCGAAATTTACTCCTTATGCACGCCCTGCTGGGCCAAGTGCACCAGAACTGCGCTGGACAAGGAGGTCAATACTCAGGAATGATCACGCTGATATATCATTAACTGATGCAAAGGCGGTATGTTCAATGCTTATCTATCTTATGGTGTGGCATTTAATAAGAATGAACAGGCTGCTGCTATTTTTCGACGTGGGTTGCAGAGCATGGATGAGGAGACTATCACACAAGCTGTTTCTGCAAAGCAAGCGACTCGTGAAAAGTCACGCTTGCATCTCCTTATGACTGCGTGGGAGATAGAGGAGACTGAGCGTCATAAAAGACTTCTTGACCTACTTCAGCAGAAGAATGCTTGGGAATACGTTGCAGCGTCCAATGAAGCTCGCCTGTTCGAAAGGTTCATGACCCACCGTCACGCAAACCAGCTTGAAGATGACTTTGACTTTGGTGTTGGAACTTACGAGGAGGAGCTACAAGCATTCAGTATTTCAGAGGAGCAATTAAATCAACTCGAGGCCTTCGCAGTCGATCACAACTTCCATGACCCCAACCAGCTGATCACCAAGGATAAATATTCCACGGACCCCTTCGTCAATGGCGCTGAATCAGATGATGATGACGAAGACTGGGACGAGCCCAGATCAGAAGTTAGTTCCGACGGATCGGGCGTCAAAGGTGAAGGGTTTGCCTTGGAAGCGAGTTTTTGAGGTAACCCCCTCATTTTTCTACTAATATTTAAGCGCTTACATTTATTTCTACAGTGATCAAGTATATATCGATACCATGTTCTTAACCGATCTGCATGTAGCTTGGGGTCCCGCTGTTTACCCTTCTATTTCCCGACAATTCAGTGTACTGCATATGACATGTCTGTGTCTTGTGTTTCGACAACGTGTAGACGGTGTTTCCCTTCTTGTATCAAATTTTGTAGCGCTTGACTGATCACACCTGTTATAATTACATGTTCACCATGAGTGTTCAGACTGAATTCTAGCTTCCACCCTCGATTTGCTGCCTCAATGAAACATGTGTCTGATTTGTCGACGGCCAGTGCCGCTATAAGTTTAGTTCTGTTCCCCTTTGCCCTCAGCTTTTCCAGCTCTCTCTAAGTATGCCTCCCAAGAAGGCATCGAAGGGAAAGCAGAAGTCAAAGGTGCGATATCAATTATTTATCATTGCATCGCTACAAACTAACAAATTTCTAGCAATTACCGAAATACCCGGAGTCCACAGGGAAGAACCCATGTGGAAATACTGCTAGCACTCAGATTGGACTGGCCATGGAGCGTCCGGTAGCACCATCCAGACTGGCTATGCAGCCACCAGCCGCGCCCCCCCCACAACCAAGGCCGGTGCCATATGTACGATCCCTGCAGCAGGGGCTACCATATATGTACGATACGACAGTTGGTCCATCGATGGCATCGTATGCACGGTCCCCACAGCAGCGCCCCCCGCAGATGAACCTTCCTAGCTGGGACATGAGGGGCGGCCCATCCTCAGTTCGTGCAGCAGTGGCTCCCACAGATGTCAGACCTTCCTAGCCGGGACATGATGGCAGGCCCATCGACCATAACACCTACGCAATTCCTGCCACGGATGGCCCCGCAGATACCTCCCTCTAACCAGCAATCGATAGCTGGCCCATCAACCGTACCACCTACTCGATTTCAGCAGCAGATACCCACACAGTCCACTACCCGTGTGCAGACTCCCATGCTCAATGTGGAAGGAGTCCACCAGGCTGTCGAGAGCTACAGGTCAGGCCTGAGGATGCGGCCAGGCCACAGTGACACATTGGTACGTGTCCCTTCAGTACGTGCAGTGAGTCGAGCAGCACCATATGAAGCCTATCGCCTCGTCATGGCATATGCGAAGCCAAGACCAGGTGAACTGATACGGGGCGAGGAATTTTCAACTGGCGTGATTCGGGTATGTCTTCTGTATAGTAATCAACGTTGATTAATCTAAATATTAGGTTGTACCTGGATCCTCGAGAGCCATTCGCAAGCCCGTCCACCTGTGCCTCCCTCCTGTAGAACCCGCAGGCACGGGTCACATAGCCCAACCAGGCTTGGGTTACCCTGCCATTAGTGGTCAACCTCTCGCATCCAACAGTACCCAACCACCTCCACCGTCATCAGTCACCACCTCGCGCATTGTTGACAGCGCTCGCAATGTATTCAAGAGGGATTTTCTCAACAACTTGATGGTGGCAAGCAACAATTTAAAGGACATGGCGCAGCGCGCATTCAATAAGGGAGTGGAGACGCATTCATCATCATCGACAATGGACTCCGTCAACGCATGGGTAGTTGAAAGCCAAAAGACCGAGCTGAAGAAGCTCAAAACCATTCCGAACACCATCCGAAGTATCTTCAAAGATGTAGGTCGATCCGCAGTTGATCTTGCGCTCCCTATCAGTGAGCGGGGCAAAGAGTTGGTGCACCAGAAGATTTACATTGATAGCCTCTGCATTGGCTTCGCTTACCTCGACGATCCAGACACTGTAAGTCCCATTCAAAGTTTCAGATATAACTGTTTCCAAAGTCTGACTTGGACTTCATAGAATGCAGCGTTTGGAAACCCTGCCCTCTTCCGCATAATCAGCCGCGTATTGCACGAGAAGAGGTTGTCCCGCTGGATTGACCCAAACAAGCGGGATCTCAACAATATCATTGCATTCTCTGGCACAATCTTAGTTTGGGCACTGCAGGAGCATGCTAACGGCTTGAACGGCAAATCAGAATTTGTCGTCGAGGACAATAGGGCAACATTCGATTCAATCGTCCAACGTTTGGACAGCCTGTCGCCGTCGCAGAGGGCAGCTGTAGATAAGCTCGTTGATGATATTTTTGCCGAGATGCAGTAAAGTATTATTCTGAATTTCTGATCCATGAATCGTAGTGTTGTTCGTCGGGTGTTCGAGTAGACTAGGCTTTAATGTTTGTTTGCTAATCGTTTATACATTGTTGCGATATCTGATTGATACTATCGCGTGAACAATCTTATCGATGGCGTAAGTATGTGACTGCATCTGCAGCGGACTTGCCATTTTAGAGTATTCCCTGAGCCTCTCGTCAGTGTACGATAGAGGTTACTGGCCTAGTCCAAACGGGGAGTGCAGTTTGGATCAAACTGGCGCGCTTAGCTTTGTAGATGTGCATGGTACACCATCACCAAAATTCCCCAAGTCTGAACTTACCTTATGCGGACATTTTCCTGCGCCACACACTTGTGAGAGCCGACGGTGTGATGACGTGTGATGGCAATGAGCTCGCACGTTGAACACCACTCCCTCAGACGTACAGCAGCACACTTGTGTGTTCCTAAGGTTCCCGTCAGTCTGACGTGCCTCTGGTAAGTTCAGATATTATTCATGCTCCCCAGATATGTCCTGATCTCAATCGGCCAGTTGGCCAACATGTCACATGCTGTGACACTTCTTCATGGCCCGGGACTCGCGGTTACTTAGTGCAGTGACCTTGCCCTTTCATCTCGCATTACCCTCATGCGGTCAGCTCAATAGACCCTCCGGTTTGAGTGCCACCACAAACTTGGGGATCTATTGTGCTTATTGCGTGACCAATGGCCATATTCAACTCGGAATGACAAGGTGAGTGATTCTCCGTTATTCATATTCTGAAGTTCTGTCTCTACATAAGGAACCGACCTTTCCTCTCCGCATGGTGACCTTATGGCTGCTGAATATCAGCTCCGACTTGGAACCTCAGCACTCCAAACCTGTGAGTTGATTCCCTGCCCTTCATATTCTCAAGTTTTTGTTGCAGGCTTTCGCCATGGACATTCCTACTTGCATTGGTTGTGGGAAATCTTACAAAACACAGAAACAGCTCTCCAAGCATGCCTCGCAATGCCAGCAGAACCGCGCATTCACCCTGGAGTCAGTTCTTGCAAAGCGGGAGAACAAACGAAAGTCACAAGCCAGAGACAAGCTCCGCAATGCCAAGAAGTCTCGTTTACCCCCGTTGTTGAGCAAGAACTCGACTACGTCGACCTTGATCAGAACATTCCGTTTGATGATCCTCAGGCTGCAGGGCCTTCAGGTCAGCCACATGATGTAGTAAGTTCATGACTGATTATATGCATGTATCATAGTAATTTCTTTTAGGATGCACCTGTTGCAGGACCGTCAGCTCAGGCACTTCCGCCCACCCCACCTCCACCCATTACTTCAAAACGTTCGGGGCGTGCTATCCGCATGCCTCGACGGTTCATCGACTATCTTCCTGGCTCAGATATACCCCTGGCACACATGCCACGGCAACAACCCGAGTATCACCCATCTCCTCCACGACCTCCATCTGAGCCTTCTCTCAATGAGCAGCCATTGGCCAAACCATTCGAGACCGAGCCAGATTCCATGGGCTTATATCGAATCTACCCTACGCACCCCACATTCATTCCTCCGAATGACTCATCTCTAGTTAATTGAACAGATGCACCAACACTAGATGGAGAACGAGCAGAGTCATCCGATGTGCATGCATCTACAGGATTTGCACCACCCGATGTGGATATAGATCATATTTTCGATCCGTTTACCAATCCGACGTGTGGGTTGATGATGACCTGGCGCTACACTGGAACTAATGACAAGTCCGATGCTGAAGTTAACCGACTATCTCACTTCCATCAGCACCCAGCCTTCAAATTGCAAGACCTGCTTGGCTTCAACTGCGCTCGTGAGTCCAAACTGATGGACAAATATCTACAAGATAAGACAAATCCACTGCGAGAAGAATTTGGCTGGCGTCAGTCAACAGTCAGAATACGCCTTCCGAAAGAACGACAGACATGGCCATCTGAGAAGGATGCACCAGAACTCGAGGTGCCAGGCATTTATCACCGCTCGATAATGTCAATCATCCACTCAACGTTCGAGGACGACATTGCCAAGACATTCCACATGACTCCCTATTCCGAGTACTGGAAGGTCTCTGACACCAAAACAGTCCAAGTTTTCTCCGAAGCGTACTCCTCACCTGCCATGCTCGATGCCTAGGCCGAGATCAATGCCTTTCCTTGTGAGCCAGATGACGACCTCGAACGTGTGCTGGCCCCTCTCATGATGTGGTCTGATGCGACCCATCTTGCCAGTTTCGGAGACGCCTCGCTATGGCCATTCTACCTGTACTTTGGCAACCAATCTAAGTACACCCGAGGAAAACCAACATCTTTTGCGTGTCACCACCTCGCCTACATTCCCTCGGTATGTTTTATCTTCATTACTGTTTATATGGCAGTTGAGTTATATATATTACAGCTCCCCAACAATCTTCAAGAAATATATGTTGACATATTTGATGAAGCCACAACGGACCAGGTCCACACATTCCTTAAGCGTGAACTCGTCCAAGCGATCTGGAAGCTGTTGCTTGATGGTGACTTTATGCACGCCTACGAGCATGGTGTAGTCATTTATTGTAGTGATGGAATCACACGGCGCGTTTTTCCTCGATTTTTTCGTATTCTGCAGATTATCCTGAGAAGTGCGTCTAAGTTTTTCTTTAATTGTTGTGCTTAGTAGCTTATTGTACTACTAGGGTTCTTCTTGCAACCATCAAGTTTTTAGGCAACTGTCTATGCCCACGCTGCCTCGTCAAGAAAGCTAATGTCCCTGATATGGGCACCAAGCTTGATATGAAATGCCGAGAGACTAGGCAATGGGTGGATAATGAACGGCGCCGACGTCGTGTAGAAGATGCTCGCAAACTTATTTTTCAAACAGGTGCATCTGTTGATGGTGCTCATGTCAAAGCGCTTCTCAATGCTGAATCTTATGTTCCTGTTCGTGTGAGTGTTTGTCTTTTCCGTGCATTCTCACATTGATACTCAATGAACCAACATAGAATGCATTTTCAGTTCAGCTCGCACCATTCGACTTCAATGTGTTCATGATGTTTGTGATTGATCTACTGCACGAGTTTGAACTTGGCGTTTGGAAGGCCATCTTTATTCACTTATTGCGCATTCTCCATGCTCAAGGTGGTACAGTGATTCAGGATCTAAACGAATGGTGAGTAATTACATTCATAGCCTTTTGCTAATCTAACATGTGATTGAAGCTACCGAATGATCCCCACTTTCGGCCGTGGCACTATTCGACGATTCCATACAAATGCTTCAGCTATGAAGCGACTAGCAGCTCGAGATTTTGAAGATCTTCTCCAGGTAATTCGATAGAATTGTTTGTGCGTCGTGCTTATGATATTATGTAGTGTGCTCTTCCGGTTTTCAAGGGTCTCCTACCAGGACTTCACAATTCAATGGTCTTGGACCTACTTTTTGATTTAGCAGTGTGGCATGCTTTTGCCAAGCTCCGCTTGCACACTGATGATACACTTTCGCTCTTCGACCATGCTACAGTTATTCTTGGAAAGACAGTCCGGAATTTTCAGAATAGTACATGTATGCACTACCATACTACTGAACTTCCCCAGGAGTACGCAACACGAGGACGACGCGAAGCTGCTCTGAGTGCCAAGCAAGGTCTACTTTCGAAGCAAAAGGGGAAGGGAAAGTCATCTGGCCCAAAGGTCAAGAACCTTAACCTTCAGACATACAAGTACCATGCGCTCGGAGACTATCCCAATACGATCCGACACATGGGAACAACAGATAACTATTCAACACAACCGGTGAGTGCTACAATTAACTTTTGAATTAGTGCTTAGTGGTGTTCTCCTAGGGTGAGCTGCAGCACCGACATGCTAAACACTGGTATCCTAGGACACCAAAGAACAAGAAGACGCTGCTGAAGAATATGGTGGTTCAAGAGGCACGAACTCGTCTAATTGCAAAGATCAACACTCAAGTGGGTAGGGTCATTGCTGTACGCTTGGGGCAGTCAAGACGACAACGACAACGAACATCCCCCTCCGATCACTATCACATCTCGAAATATCCTAGGGCATCACACGACCTTACTGGCTGGTTGAGTGATCTTGAAGACGATGATCCTGCTAAAATGGTCTATTTTTTGCATACATGCTTGTATATGTATTGACAATGCTCCCTTCAGAACTTCATCCCCCGGCTCAAAGATCATCTCCTTGCTCGTCTCCGAGGTATTGAATATTCAGGCGATGAACACAACTTTTCCAATTCAGACCGAGACCTCATTATCCTGGCAAACAACAAGATTCACGAGCATAGTATTTTACAGATCAATTACACAACCTACGATCTAAGAAGGGAACAGGATTGTATTAACCCTCGAACTCGAGCTGATTTAATGGTCCTCTCACACGAGAATGATGAGGAAAAGCATCCTTACTGGTATGCTCGACTAATCCGCATATTTCACGTCAATGTTTGGTACTATGGTGGTGATAACACACCTTCGACCTCGAGGCGTATGGATGTTCTTTTCGTGCGCTGGTTTGGACGGGACGTGACCTTTCCAGCTGGTTTCTCAAACAAACGCCTGCATCGCATCGGTTTTATTACCAATGACACCAGCAATCCAGATGTTGATTCTGGCTGCTTTGGCTTTGTCGATCCTGATCAGGTGATTCGCGGAGTGCATTTGATTCCCGCCTATGCATACAAACGCACAAACCAGTATCTGGGACCTTCCTTTGTTCGACGTGAAGAAGAGGCTGATGACGACTGGCGATATTTCTATGTCAACATGTAAGTCAGGTGTTTTATTCTCAGGACAATATCTCACCTCGATTAAATAGATTTGTAGACCGTGACATGTTCATGCGCTTCCGTGGTGGCGGGATCGGTCATAAAATTACCCGAGAATGGGATGAGTTCCTGCAGCGTGATGGCGCACCTGATCAACAGGACACTGCCGCAAGTGATGATGAAGATCTTGATATAGAGGGTGCCGAGGAAGATCTAGAAGAGGAGCTTGTTGAGTTTGACAAAGATGAGGATGACAGGGAAACAGATGACGAGGAGGAGGATGATGAGGAAGATCCAGATAGAGTCATTCCAGACTCAGACGAGGAGCTAGATGATGATGTCCTTGCTCAGGCAGGATACGGTGCGCTGTAGTTGAAAATAATGATTTGATGATTTAGCTGTGTCTACTACAAATGTGCGTGTCGTAGAAATAATAGAGATGTAAATCGGCGCAGGGAGGCAAGATACAACTAGAAGATCACATCATTACCGTCCATAGTCATATTCAAATAAGGATCAAAAGCAGGTCCAATAGCAAGCATGATTCAAGCAGAGGGTCTTCTTGCTTGTAGTGTACGAGCTTGAGAGTGGCTGGGTATGCCGTGGCCTGCGATCCTGATAATAAATGTTATAAGGTTATGAGACAAAGGCGCGACGGCTCGCGCACTTCATCACCAAAACCGCACATACGGGCACGCATAGGGTGTTGTACTACTTCAAGGGAATAATGCCTGATGATCGTTAAAGGTTAAGAAGTATGGCGGACAACTCGGGACATAATTGACTGACTTTCGGCCCACCATTGTCCCCGTTGCTCGATGTCTGCATCAGAATCTTGACGAGGTTGATGATCAATGTTGGAGCGGTTATTTGACTTTTGAATCATGAAAGTTTGCAAGATGTGAGGGCAAGGGTGTGATGCGGTATAGGGGAAGGAGAAAGGCACTTGTATGAAATCGGGTTGTCTGCGGACAATTTAGACTCGAGGTCGCGCTAAAGGAGAACTGTAAATGTAGTGAGCGCATTGTGACTAGGGTAGGGTTAGGGATATGCACCTTCAAGGCGTCACCTCCCTCATGAGGGCGCCTAAGACAAGAATATACGCCAGATCATAGGTGCTGGTGCGCCGACCTCCAGCACAGCCAGCACCTCCCAGGCGCATAAGTGAAAATTGTGAATGAGGATATGAGTGCATAAGTCAATGGTACAAAACAAGTTCGGACTTCCTGTTTCGAAAGTCACGTGACTTTCAAAGTCAGTCGGCATTTTCCAGAAATAAACAAAGCGTCAATAACGTGTCGATCTTTGCTTAGCGCTTATCTCTTATACCAACACCATTAATTTCAATTGTTTGACATGTCTGTATAATGCTCATCACTAATACTGAAGATCACCTCGACCTGGCCAATAGGACGTCATTTTTCCACGACAATGTCGTTGTGTTGGAGATCGACAATATGCTGTCTGGATGGCCGACTTATACCCTCGATTTTACACCGGAACACCCGGGCCCATTGGTATGTGTCTTCAATATATTTGAATTTCTTAGTACTGACATTGATACTATAGAAAATTATACTATGGTTGAAGGATGCTGTAGAGTTCAGGATGATCGAAGATAAAGATAGTGATGACGAAGCTGATGAACAAGCCAAGAGGTATTTTTTCACTTCTTATTAACTTGAATGTACTAACATATTCTGACTTTGTAGTGAATCACAGCCTGTCGCTGAGGATCCAGACACTACGATGGTCTGTGAGCCAACACCGGCGTCCAGGTAAGTTTTTTTTTGATCCATTATTGTGACATTGGCTCAGCTCTTATGGTGCTTGCAGGGACTCAAACATGCCTCAGCGCATCAGCGCAAAGCCTGTTGTGCTGCATGTCATCCCCACGGATCCTCCCAGCATCGTCCATATACAGAAGAAATTCCAGGACGAGCATGACTATACGTGGCCTCCCCGCCGTGGGTTCAGGGAAAGCTCTACCACAATGCGAATCACTCAGATTGATGCACTCATGACCTTACCCGCAGCTGTAGAAGCCTTAAAGCTCGATTAGTTAGACTAATTTTTTTTCTTTCGTGCACTGTATCACTCTTTCGCAGCACAATATTGCAGGTTATCGTGTTTCATTGCTGTCGTGTTTACTTTCATGGACTAATAGTAACGTAAATCACTCGAGTTGTAACTGTAGTATTAATTTTGTACTTCTTGTTGCGCATATAATCACTGTTGACAATGGCAGATTCACGTTAACATGTACAAATAATGATTAAATGATCGTTCATTGCTTAATGTTAACATTTAACGTTGTAACCCTTAACCATCATGTCTTCACATCGTCGTCCTGGCGTGGCGTCGAGCTCCTCTGACCCCCCTGACTCAGATTCAATCTATGCGCGTGGTTCTTCAGTAACATCATTCGATTCTTCTCCCCAACCTGTCAAAATTGGGAAGCGCAAGTCAACATCAGAGCCATCGAAATCCAGCAAACGGAAACGCAAGGCTCCAGAAAATAGTGGAGAAGAGCTCGAAATACACGATGTCAAGGCTAAGGCATCTAAACGTCCACGATTGCAAGTTTTTTTCACTTATATGCACGCATATATTGACTGATATCGCATATTAGCCATAGAAAGGATAATCGCAAGGAAAAGTAAGTTTCTTTAATACTTGAGACATTGATTCTGATAAGACTCGAACATCTGAAGGGGTGCTTTAACTCCACGGGACCAATGTCTTCACTTTGCTCGGTGGATCCCTCGAGGGATCGACATGTTTTGCATCCTCAAGGACGTCTTTCGCATTGCACCCATCATCGAGGATGCACGTGCTCACTTGGATGATGACTCCGACGCAGATGACATGCACAATACTCTCTTAGCTAACATGTAAGTGATATTTTTTGCGTTTCGTGACTTTATTACTGCTAACAGTGACTAGATCCAAAGATATGCAGGACCAGATGCTCCGGATGTTCAAGAAGATCATTACAGGTGCCCCTTACCTTCAAGAACTCATAAGAGGTGGTCGCAAAAAATCGGATGAACTGCAGGAGATCCTTGACGAGGTATGTGCGCATATGCACCTTTCAGTTGACTAATGATCAAACAGATGCAATATTTGATTGGACAGGTGCGATCCGAAGATGCGGCTCATCTGAAAAGGAGCATTGCACGTTATGCAGTGTTTAATGGAAAAGGTCTGGTGCCGCCCGTCTTCCCTGATACCAAAGAATCGCGTGCACAGATGGGTCTCAACCACCCTCAACTCGCTCGCATGCTATGCCCCATAAAGTTTCTTTCAGAGAATCAAACGGACCCATCAGCGTACGTACTACATTATACTTTTTTCTGTATTTCTATGAACTAACATCGCCTAACCAGCACAAAAGCCAAGCTTGAGGCTGGCACTATCAAGATGGATGCACGAGCTTGGCCTGCCCTGATGTATAGGGCATCAGGAAAACAACTCAAAATTGATATGACCAGTTAGACCTGACAAATAAAACCCATTATGATACATCTAGATTTAGAATTACATATTATGATCTTTGCACAACATGTGTATGAAGAAATACATGACAATGTCAAGGACATATCAATTTGCTATGCATCTTATAAGTATACAACAAATATATGAAGGGATATATAGCTATGCTAGGAACATATCATTTTGATATGCCTCTCACAAATATATGACAATTATGTGAAGAAATATATGACTGTGTCAGGGAAATGTCATTTTGATATGCATCTTACAAATATGCAACAAATATATGAAGAAATATATGACTATGCCAAGGACATGCCATTTTGATATCCATCTTATGATTATGTAACAAGTATATGGAAGAATATATAACTATGCTAGAGATATGTCATTTTGATACCTATCTCACAAATTTACAACAAATATATGAAGAAATATATGACATGCTAGAGGCATCTCATTTTGATATACATCTTACAAATATGTGACAAATATATGAAGAAATATATGACTATGTCAGGGACATGACATCTCGATATGTGTCTTACAAGTATGCAACAAGTATATGGAGAAATATATGACTATGCTAGAGGCATCTCATTTTGATATACATCTTACAAATATGCAACAAATATATGAAGAAATATATGACTATGTCAGGGGCATGTCATCTCGGTATACATATTACAAGTATGTAACAAGTATATGGAAGAATATATGACTATGCTAGAGATATGCCATTTTGATATGCATCTTACAAATATGCAACAAATATATGGAGAAATATATGACTATGCCAAGGACATGCCATTTTGATATATGTCTTACAAGTATGCAACAAGTATATGTAAGAATATATGACTATGTCAGGGACATGACATCTCGATATGTGTCTTACAAGTATGTAACAAGTATATGAAGAAATATATGACTATGTCAGGGGCATGTCATCTCGGTATACATATTACAAGTATGTAACAAGTATATGGAAGGATATATGACTATGCTAGAGACATGCCATTTTGATATGCATCTTACAAATATGCAACAAATATATGAGGAAATATATGACTATGTCAGTGACATGTCATCTTGGTATACATATTACAAGTATGTGACAAGTATATGGAAGAGTATACAACTATGCTAGAGTCATGACATCTCGATATGTGTCTTACAAGTATGCAACAAGTATATGAAGAAATATATGACTATGTCAGGGGCATGTCATCTCGGTATACATATTACAAGTATGTAACAAGTATATGGAAGGATATATGACTATGTCAGGGACATGACATCTCGATATGTGTCTTACAAGTATGCAACAAGTATATGTAAGAATATATGACTATGCTAGAGGCATCTCATTTTGATATCTGTCTCACAAATATGCAACAAATATATGAAGAAATATATGACTATGTCAGCGACATGTCATCTCAGTATACATATTACAAGTATGTGACAAGTATATGGAAGAGTATACAACTATGCTAGAGACATGCCATTTTGATATGCATCTTATAAGTAGAGATCAATGTGACAAGTAGCCTTCAATAGTACACATTATTTGGCTGGCTGATGATCAAACTTATAACATGTTGTGACACCCATTTCATGTTACTAGTAAGTACCTGCACAAATGACAATTGTGACAATGACTTGACAATGTATTATAACCTGATGTCCTGAATTATATTATAAATGACCAGATGACTCCATCTTCAATCCATCTCCTCCCGGGCCCGCCCTCATTTGACATGCTTTTGATGAGCCTGGAGATCTGACTGACAACTGACTGGCAATCAGGCTCATATTCCTTGTCATCATTATCATGGGCAGACTTTAACAAGAGCCTCCAGGTGAGCTTCTCCAACATATTATCAGGGACAACTCCAACACTTGCAAAACATTAATAATTGGTCTATAGAAATTCTAAGGACACAATCACATCTGAAGACAAAAAAATCTATACCCAGCACGACGCACACTCACAAACTTGAATACCCCTTCACCTCCTCCTCCCAAGTCCAGGCATCTCCCCAAAAACAACATATCTCTACTACCTCCTCAGGCATTATCACATGCCAACTCGTGAGTGATCAATGACTTTGTCTGAATCCTCAGGTTCTGATTGTTGTCCTACTCAGCAAACATCAGCGCGACAGATTCCTGACGTTTTTTGTGACAATTACCAGTCGCGAAATCTTCTGGTTCATCAGCTTTCCATTTTGTGAGCTAAAACACGGTCAGCGGACATTGTAAGAACAATTCTATCCAGAACTGACTTTGACCACATTTTCAGTGAAGTTGGCCAGTTGCGCAACGTGGATACTGAAGCTTTGGTCCGAAACACCTTCATCCAAAAGTTTCAGAGAAAAAGGTTTGGTTGGAAAATCAAAACACATTTGGTTTGACCTTGTACAAGAGCGTGATATCCTTCTCACGCAGCGCAGATGCATCTTCTTGGTTCACATGAGCCACAACGTGGAGGTTTTTCACGTGAGGAAGCTCCTGGTCGAGGGCAGTCAACTCGTGAAAGTGAGTAGCAAACAAGCAGAAAGTGCGGATGTGGGGTGCAATATGCCTTTGGGTGCCATCAGATACGACTTCAGGAAATAAATGTTGTTCTCATACTCAGATATAGACCATGCCAGGCCGAATCCATCATACATTGAAGTTCCTGAAGACAAGGCAAATATTGACAAAACATGCTTCATCGTCCAACAGAAGACATACCGCGGCCGAGCTCATCGATGATAATGAGAGAATCTTGAGTAGCAGACTGAACAGTGCACGACAGTCAGACAGAAGAAAGATTGTGTAGATACCACTTACTCGGAGGATCGAAGCAGTCTCAAGCATCTCGGCCATGATAGTCGAGACACCCTTCAACTGACTGTCACTGCCTGCACCCACACGGCAAAGCACCGAATCAAAAATCAGTAATGTTGCCTCCGAGCAAGGAAAAAACATCCAGTCTGTGCCATGAGAGCAATGACTCCAACCTATGAGGTAGGTTCAAGTTGAGAAGGGCGTTCGCGAACGATAGGTAAGTTAGCTCTGTTGGAATGGTACAGGAGCAGCACCTACTACTGATTATCTGAAATTCACAAGGCGGCACATGACACATGTAACGGTGACAGTGCCATAAACCTTACCCTTCACCATTTCCACATCATTTAGAATGAAGCTTATGATATCGTCCTGAACTTCGAGGCAAGGATGCCGCGCGTCGCGTAATATTAAGCCGCTAGAACCTGATGTGCGTTGATCAATTCCTGCGTCAAACATCATCTCCAAAACTTGCCTTTCTCCAAGACTTTCAGTTTCACGTATGGCTCAGGAGCATTTACAGAAACATGAGCGAAACTAGATGATCGTTACCACATGTGCAAGCTCCAGTCGCAGGGCTCACCTGATGATAATGTCTAGGTGTGCAATGATGTGGTCGAGATTCTCTAGTACAGATGTATATCATGATGTTGCTGTGCGAAGGAAAAGGCATATGTGAATGCGAAAGTAGTAATGAAAGGAGTATCTTACATACAATGCTCACAACTTCCTTCACTAACCCGCTCTGCATTCGCTGATATTCATGCGTAGCCTCTTGATGGTCCATGGAAAGTGCTTTTAGCTTCTTGGTCGTAAAGTAGACTCCGCTCTTGACAGTCCCGAGTTCAATATATTTGTTGTTCCGCATGATGGCTTTCGCATCCTGATAGGTATGTGGGCTCATGGCATCTCACAGTACGGGAAGCTTACATTCTTCGTCAACCTGAAGCAGTATCTTGCCGGTCGCACGATGTTCAGCATCAAGACCATCCCAGATCTGAGAAAACGTCAGCCCTGTTCGCCATCATTCTGATAGACATAATATGAACCTCCACAAGTTTATCTGCCAGAACTTACAGACGCTCGTCATAGTCAGGCTTGATCGCGTAATTATGATTTTCGAGTTCTTCAAGATCTAGCGTTGACTCTACCATTTCACCATATTTGACGAGATTCTCGTTGACAGCCTGGTAATAGCAGGTGTTAGAGGGAGCGGTGATGATGTAATTCGACGAAACTATGACATGCGCACCTGGAAAGGCTTGATATAAATTTCATCGATAAGCTCCTTGTGCTCCTTGTGTTTGTACTGGACACCTTCGAGAGTCTCGAGAAAACCAGGCAGCTAGTTGGGTAAAGTAAATAACACTGAGGGCCAGGAATTGAAGCAAAGTACCTTGAGGATCACTTGATATACGCTCACAACATCCTCAAGAGATGCGATAGATTTCTTGAATCGTTTGCTTAGTCGGTGGAGGTCAGGCATTAGCTTCAAGTAGTCATCCTGCGGAATGAAAATAAATGACGCCCTTGACAAAGGGTATTGTACTAACCTGCAGTTTTCTCCGAGAAGATCCATCATCCACAAATGTCTCCACAAGGTCTTGCCGTTTACTTGCAAGGCTAAAGTTTTGTTACGTCAAGTGGAGTAAGAAACGGGCATACGTGTTTCGTGCAGATTTACCAAGGGTTGCTTAAGCCATGTCCCGAGAAGCCTAGTTCATTGAGCAGTCTTGCATTTATTTAGCAGACCAAGGAGGGTTGCATGTTTATTGATACTTCCCTACAGGGCGACCGTTAGCAGGGAAGATATCAGTATGAACTGCATCTTGAATGACTTACAGCACTCCCAGGGGCGTCAATCAGATTCAGTGCACGCAATGCACTAGCATCCAAGCGCATACATCGTGCTAGATCGTGTGTCCGTAACTTGTATGCCCCGTGATTGGAAGGATCAGAAAGGAGAGAAAGATAGCTGATCGAGGCAGAAGGTGCAGACAGGGCTGAAGGAAGGGAGAGCTCAGCTAGATGATATTGTGAGTGTTGCTTGAGCAGTTAAGATATCAAAACCCACGAATCGAAGCAGCAGAGTCTGAATCCGTTTCTGAGTCGATCATTGATTTTTAACGTCGTCTTGGACATGTTTTGGAGTAAACTCGCCTACTAGTAGGACCTGGAATTAGATGGACTTAAGAAACTGCATAAATGTTGACTTACTTGGTTTACGTTCAGTCACAACCACAACACACCTCTCGAACACGGCTTTTAGCTTGCTCAAGTCGAGGTCGCGGTCTGTTGTTCCAGTGGGAATAATGGCTTCTTTGACTGAAAGTCGTATGAACAAGAGACTATTCAACCAGTGTGAGGAGATAGCGATGACAGTCTGCAACTAAGTACACCCACCTCAAGGTTCGAGAAAAGATTGTTGTCAATGCAGTCAGCAACTCCGAACTCCCTCACACTGGTATCCGCGAAGACAATGCCGATTGACTTGGTCTTGGCTTTGTTCGTGACTGAAGATGATGATACTTTGACAGCTAAAACGATAGGTGCCGATGTAACATCGGAGCTGACAAAGAGAAGGTCTTCAACAGCTTGGAGATTTCCAGGTGATGCCTTTCGAATGGTTAATTATGGCTATAAAGACAAGACATTACTTACTCACCTCCGATGTTTCCAAAATGAATTTGGAAGCTTTCCTTCCCTGCCCAGGTGCGGGCACCAATATTTCTACGCATAGCTGTTTAGATGTAAGGGTATCTCGCAAAAATGGGCGAGCCAGGGTATGGCTGGCTGCAGTGAGCGTGACACTCGGAAGACCACCAGCCTTGCCTCCAGCACCTAGACACTTGAGGACGGAGTTGGTACGAAAGACGTGTGTTGCGACATAGTGAGCATCCTGCCCGTGGACAGAGTAGTAGTCTGTGCGATCAAATAGACGGATCGTTCCAGTTTCAGGAGATTTCTTTGGGAGTTTGGAAAAGAATGCAACGAAACTGGGGTCAGAGGCTGGTCTCAGGTCAGAGTTAAAATTCTATGGTCGAGCAATCAAAGACTCACTCAGTTCATGCTCTGCATCCTTTTCCTTCCCACACATGCCAAGAGCCACGCTACTAAATTTTGACCTGATAACACAAGGAAGAAGCAAAAGACGTGTTGCGTCACATGTATTGAAAAATTGCTCCCGCCAAATCTGCTGCCATTTCACGACTTCGTTCATTATGTAATTCAGCGTTGTTCAACTTCAGTCCCAGCAATGTTTCAATGTGAAATTCTCCCCTGTGCAGAAACGAGGAATTCACATCTCGACTCGATCGAGTAGTACCATAGAAGCAATGGTGATCATAGATACCTGTTAACTGGTCAATAATAGCCAGCTTGTACGGAAAGTTGTTCATGTGGCACAACGAAAGATAATTCCACATACTAAAAGTCATTAATTATCTATCTTGTTCCTTCCTAGTACAGAATCGTTATTGATCAGTGTTCTCATAATAGACTTAGGACTCGCGCACACGGGCATTATCGGTATTGTATCAGATTGCGGCACGTAAACATACCAAATCTGACGTAAAATCCATCAATACCAAATCTAAAGTCTGATTCGTCCGGTAAAAACCATATGATGCCACCCCTATGAATTTCATGTACATTAGTAGATGACTTGCCATGGTCTTCTCGGCAATTTCACCGAGTACTAGAGCAGGCACGAATCATCATACTCACCTGCACCGCAATCTTTTTCTTGTATTCCTAGAACACTGCGTCAGTAGTGTGTCCTCAGATCAAATGTAAGTACTGACCTCCTTCAATGTTGTCCCAATAGAGGGCATAGTATGCACTTGCTAGTTCGCGCTGGTAGCTACTGTGCGACAATGAACGTGACCGTCATCAGGATGGCAATGATAGGTGGAAGGCGAGGGAATGGTGGGTGCTGACCGCAGAGGATTTGCGAAGCACACGATAATTTGCCCTTGCAAAGGTGACAATCAGAGGTTGCAAATTTAAACTTGAATAGGTTGCTCCTTCGAGAAGTTTAGAGCAATCTTCACAGTAAAAAAAGACCATACCTGTTGTGAAAGCGTAACTTTACTACGCACGCTTCCAAAAATAGATACAAAACTATCAGAAGTCAGTTCCTTCATCACAACGGTTTGGGGCATACTGGCAACTAGCGTGTTCAGAACGTCATCAGTTTTACCAAGATCAACATTTTGAAACTCTGAATCGCTGCGAAGGTATCCAAGATAGCGGGGGTTGTGATACAGCGAATTGGCAGTGTGCAGAGCTAAATGGTGGCAGAGAGTTGAATGGCGATGCAGGCTCATATCGTTCCGTCACACCCGGTGGCGTAAAGACACTGTAAAAAGACCTGTGAGTGAGTGAGATCATCAGAGGGGGAGAGATGGAACAGACGTTGTCGTCACCAGCGCAAAAGATGGACGCGACTCCAGGGTTTCAATGATAGTATAATAAATGCTTGACGATTTCCCCCTTGTATGAACTGTCAATCTGCATGCATATAAGAACCACACGCACAGACCTTGTTTACAGCGATCGTGTGCTCTTCTGCGACCACGAACTCCGTCGACTCGGAAGTCGTATTCATTCCGTCCCTGAGGGGCATTATCACTCCGAAATCTGCAGCGCGTGGATTTCGTCCTCTCTGAGGGTTTGGTGACTGTTGGAGTTGTCGCAGACTTGGAGGTGATGTGTGCAAGGAAAAGGCGAAAGTAAATAAAATAAGACAGGTGAAGACGTGATAAAAAAATGCACGCACTGGTGGTGTACGTGTGCAAAGTCCAAACTCCGAGTGATTGATCTGCGCGACGGTTTACGAGACTTCAAGACGCTCGAGCTTTGGGGAGTCTGTTAATGCAGAAAACGGCGGCTGTAAACGGTATGTAGAGTCATTCATCAATATATGAGTATTGCAGTCAGATGACAGCACACCTGAATAAGGATGACAGTTTTGCGCTGCCACTCTGGGTAATCATGCAAGAGCTCCTCAAACGCACGGAGCTGGTGTTATACCGACAATTTGAATGATGGTGCAAGGAACAGCCAACAAATCAACAACGATACAACCATGTGAGAAAGAATAGTCACCTTTTGCAAAAACCCCTCGACGACATCCAACTTATCCCTTCCTACGATGATCTTCTTGTCTGCGTACTCAGAGTACGCGAAGGACTTCGAGTTTCGGTTGGACGCCTGGGTGGAGGCTGGTTCGCGTGCGTGCGGATGCGTTAGAATTGAGTGATGTCGCTACTAGTATAGCGAGCGTTCAAATTGGGAATTGGGTGAATGCGTGCGTGCCCATCAGTATCGTGACATAAGCGGGTGTTAGAGACAACGGGCTGCTTGACGGTTGTATTGAGTGCTCCAATCTCTTACGACTGCCATTTGCGAAATATTCACATTGTTTCGCTGTTCTTCCTAATCAGTCACTGAAAAATAATTTGAGCTATGGGCAAACAAAAAGCAGTGAGTAACTTACGCGTGTCACATCGATATCTACTAATTTATGTCAGGACTGTTGTCGGTGCCCAACGAAGGGGAGGTGGAGGAAGTAGTACGATGTCAAAACGATTACACTCAGGCTGAGGCGGCGGGTAGTAGTGAACAAACAGTACGTGCCTCCGCATTTTGCATCAGTTTGTGTTGACGTTCGCGATCCAAGGGAGGGCAATGCTGACGGTGGGGAGACGTTGGGTGAGATACCTAAAGGAAGGGTGAGGAAGGTGACGAGTACTATGTCTAGCGGGAAGCCCAAGTATGCGCCCTTTACGAAAGCTTTGATCTCACCATCCTCGTTGATTAATGACGATTGTCGGATAACCTACTTGACTGTATCACAATATTTTGCATCCATTTGACGAATGCTTGATATTTTTTAAGAAAAATTTATACTCAATCCTACAACATTGTAACAGCATGTAGCATCAGATCAAGCCTCCAATCCTAGCACGTCTCATGCCAGTGAAGACTCAGGAACAGATCAGGCTGCGAATATCGTTAAAAAGAACGTTGATCAGTCTGACTGAGTATCGCCGCCTAGATCCCTGCAAAGTATTGATGTGAATAGTCGAAAGCGAATCTATGGCAAAACTCGAACCAATCGTAAGTTGTGTAGGCCGTATTGGTACAGTTCGTGTGTAATTTTGGGCCTGTCGTGTGTTATGGGATATACATGTACTCGGATCGCCGAAGCGTTCTTTGCACGAGGGGAGTGAATGGAGTGCGGAAGAAAAGTAAGTAGTAGGTTGGGTCCAGTGCGGCTTGCTGCTGAGAATGCCTTCTACTCCGTCATGCCCTGATATCTAATGGACGTTGACCTTGAAGTTACGGTCTCAGCTAACTTTCTCTAGGTTATCGATTGCGCTACGGAAGTGGTCGATCAAATAATGGCCTGGTTTAGTTGAGAACCGATCACCTAATTTAATGGACGCTTGATTATCGACATAGATTGACACCAGGTATGTAATGTCCTCTTCTTGGGAAAGGAGTTGAGCTGCTAACGTTGGGCCTACTGATTCCACCTCACAGACGGTGTTTTTTTTTGCTGGTTCCGAGATGAAAACGTAATATGCGCGGGTGACTCTGTCCTTGTCTGTATAGGATTGCCGCCTCTCCTATATGATCATCTATACCTGATCCATCGCAATATATCTTGATTTCGTCCTTATTGGTGGTGTGGTTCTTGATATCTTGTTCCCTGGACTCAGCAATGACAGTAGATTATGAGTTTCGGCCATTCGGGGGACGTCTGCTATGAGTGATGGTTTCGATAGAGGTAATGTCGAGTTGGGAGGCGTGATATAGATGGTGGAGAGATGATCGATGACATTTGACATATTTCCTGGCAGCTTTGCGGACTGGATCACGTAGCGGATGGGACGGGGGATGTGCAGCAAGACGTACAGCGGCCTGGTAGCAGAGGTTCTGCATTCTATGTTCCATTGGTAGTAGCTTCGCGTGTACTTTTAGGGTGTCAGTAGCCGTAGAGCGCATTGCCCCCGTAATACTTAATGCCGCTACTCTTTGAACTCGACCTAGTCGACGGGCCACTCCTATGGATCCGGATTGTTGCTTGTCGTCAATACCGGTGAATAGAGGGCGAAACCACAGATCGACTGCGTATAACATTTTAGGCATAGCTACTGAAAGGTATAACTGACGCATCAGTGAGAGAGGTATGCCTGTGGAAGTGGAGGAGATGCGACGCAGCTGCATACAGAAGCTGTGCCTTTTGCGATGGCGTGAGCTACGTGGGGTTTCCATCTTAATGCTTGATCTAGGATGACTCCTAGGAACTTATGCGTTGCTATCGGAGTGATCGTAGTTCCACGAGTGCCGTCAGACCTTGCAGGCCACTGAGACTGGTCGACACGTTGGCTCGAGCTCAGAGGATCAACGCTCTCACACCCTGCGAACAGTAGGCAACGTGGGTACGCAAGGGTTAGAACGGTCGTGTTATAGTACTAATAGAAATTGTACCTTCACTGAAACAATCCAACAAAATGGATTAGTAGTCTGTGAGTGAGGACTCGGAGACATCGAGTGGCTCGGATGTGGGTAAACGACCTAGAGGCGATTAAGGCTGAAGGCTGGAATGCTTCAATGACGTCTACTTGTCAAGACAGGGACGGAACCAATAATAATTGGTCATCAAAAACGAAGTAAATCAAATAGAGGTAGCACAAATAACATAGATCCAGTCCGACTTACAACCGAGGTATGGTACAATTACAAGCAAGGGTAGTGTTTACATGATTATAGAGCCATAAGAAGAGGTGTATGAGATTGAAAAGCATTCATCAAAGCATTCATCGTCAGATGTAAGTGACGCATGCGTGACAGCACTCCCTGGAGGTGTGCCTGAATTTATCTTAGTATAGGAAAACAGATGTGACTTATATACCTACCATCATCGGTACCCTCGAACTCAGCAATGCGTGCTAGGGCCTCAGAAAACATGTCCACTTCGGCCTGTGCACGCTGCTTCTTCAAGCCCAGGATATGCATGTCGGACTTGAGAATATCTGTAGTCTTGGACTTCATTGGTTGAAAATCGTCGCTAGTGTCGATGTGTAG